CCCTGCTGCTCCAGAACACAGCGGCGTTTGACACCATGGCCTGGCTGGGCGGCGCTGACCTGGCTGGTTTTGGGGATGATGATATCCTTGCCCTGGCCAGGCACTTTGCGCTCTCTGTGCCGCGCCCCCGCCCGCCCCTGCCGTGCATTGAGCAGGGGCTCCAGGGGGAGTGGCAGGGCCTGAAGGCCAAGGCCAGGAGGAGCCTGCCTTTCCCCTCTGGGGGGCGGGGCGCTCTGCATGCATCTCCACCTCCTGCTGTGAAAGGGGATTCAGCTGGAGCCGGATCAGGACCAGGAGAGGACCAAGCTGTCCAATGAGGTGACCAAGATGCTCATGATGACAGCGGTGAGCGGGGTGGCGGCCACCCAGTACGACCCCCAGCCGCCATCCAGCGCTGCTACTGGACCTCCTCGGGCTGGCGCTTCAGCCACGTCCACACCGGTGCCCCAGGCTCCCCCCTGCCCCTGGTGCCCAGGCAAGTAAGTCCACATGGCAGAGCTTCTGGATGTGAGGAAACGGAGGAGGGGGGTCTCACCTTCCCAGCCCCGGTGAGCGCGAAGCCTGGGGGAGCCTGATGAGGTCAGCCACCACCGTGGGCTTGGCCTGAGGTGGCCCCCGAGCTTCTGCGGTGCGCCCAGCCGTTTGCCTACCAGGGGCCGCGGGAGACACGACGCCTCCCTCGGGACGCTCCAGACACGGCCAGAGCGGTGATGCGCACACGCTGCAGGCACGTGTGTCAGGGCCGCTAACTGGCATGTGACGTGGGGCGAGTCCATCATTCCGTGCTTTGGTTTTTGTCTGTAAAGTGACTCAATACACGTTAAGGGCTCATAACAGTGCCTGGCAAGCCGTGCTGACCACTGTTGGGAATGACTGGACGGCGGGACCGTTGGGGCGGCGACATCCCATTCTGAGTGGGCCGTGCAGACTCGCGGGGCCGGGGAGGCAGGAGGTCAGTGCAGGCCGGAGGCTGGGAAGAGCGTGCTGGGGGAGAAGGGGGCGGGGGGAGCCCTGAGGACACGCCTGCTGGCCTGGGGGCCGGGCCGGGGACAGTGCGTCATGGGGAGGCAGCTGACTGAAAGTCTGAGGCGCGAAGCCGTCCTTCTCGGAGGTGGTCACTGAAAACCAAAGCAAACGTATAGTCAGGGAGGCCCCCCAGGCCCTCCCTGGTTTACTTAACAGAGACATTTGTCCCTGATTTGTCTCCCTGGACGTCCCCCAGCTGGCCCCCTCCCTGTTGCTTCCGCTCTTGTTTTGGACCGCTGTCTGTGGCCGCAGCGGCGCCCTGGTCTCAGGCTGACAGGCTGCGTAGGAAGGGGCGGCCCTGACCTGCAGCTGGACGAGGGGAGGGGCCCAGAGGGGAAAGGGCCAGGGGCCCTTCAGCCCAGCCCGTGGGGGAGGGGGAGGCAAAGCTGCCACCAGGCATGCGCTTCACAGGCTGTTCTCCTGGGGACCAGGGGACTCGTACCTCTGAAACAAACAGCGAACACCACCAGACGTGGTGTGACAAGGCCGCCCTCCCCAGGCAGGCCTTCCCAGCCTCGGCACTGTTGACACTTGGGGCCCCTCCTGGCCATGGCGGGACCTTCAGCAGCGCCCCTGGCTGTCACATACCCACCAGTGCCCTCCTGGTTGGAGCAAATGGCCCCTGGGCGAGGTCCCGTGTCCCAGGGCGGGCATAGGTCAGCCTGCAGCCCTCGGCCGCGGTTTTTCCACTGAGTGGACCTCGGGGTGCAGTTGGCAGGGGGGGGGGGACCCTCACGTAACCTGTTTTCCAGGGTCTGATGGTGCCCTCTCTGTCCTCCCGCTCGAGGGGCGGTGCCCAGGAAGGAGACGATGGGAGCGCTCTGCACGGAGGAGGCCGCCGCCCAGAAGCTGCCCGATCTGTCTTGCGGGGAGCCTGCAGGATCGCCCGGGTGCGGGCCTGACGCGGACTCTGCGGGAGCGGGAATCCACGGTTGCCTGGCAGACCCCCCGCTGTCCTGCCCCTTGCGGTCGCCTGGCGGGCTCGGTGCAGGTTCCTAGCGACCCTGGAATCTCCCTTTGGTGGGGAGCCTCTAAGCACAGGAAGTTCCAGCGACAGTGTAGTCACACCCCCGACCCAGAGAGGCAGGGCCACCGGGAGGCTCACAGCCTGTTTCCCTTGCTGAGCAGAACAGGGACTCAGCCCTGAAGTGCGCAGAGGTTCTTGTCTGAGTGCAGTTTTAAGGTGCTCCGGGATACAGGCCCATCATGAAAGATTCCACCCTGGGTTCTGGTGGCACAAGGACTTTCCTGAAGTGGGGAGTCTGTTGGGAGTAGGGGCTCAAAGGAGCACCCCCCCATTCCAGGGGGCTGCCCACAGCCTCAGGGACCTGGGGAAGGCACTGGGTGGGGGCAGAGGATGACTGGCTTCAGGGACAGCGAGCCTGGCTCTGCGATGTCACCCTGGCTCCATGGCGGGAGCAGGGTACCCCGACTTCGAATGGGAAGCTTGCTTTCAAGACTCTCTGCCCCGTCCCAGGGCCTTCCCTTAGGTGAGACAGGCACCCACCCTTTGCCCAGATCGTCTGGAAGCTTCTCCTGCAGCCCTGGGCCAAGGGGACGTGGGGGGGGGGTTGGGCGTGGCGTGTCCCCCTGGAGCAAGCCTCTGCACCCCGTCCGGCCGCAGCACTTGGGTTCCACCTGCATGACGCCAGCTGGCTTCCAAGTTGCCCTCGGGAGGCTGGGAGCCGCCCCCACTGTCAGTCCCTCTGCTTTGCTGTGCCTCAGTTTCTCCTTCCATGAAGTGGCAGCACAGAGTCTAAGTGCCTGCTGGCTCCCAGCCTGCCACAGGAATGACGAAGGACAGTGTGTCCACCTACCTGAAGGACAGACCTCGGCTGCACAGAGGGGACTCAGCTGCTTTCAGCCTTTGTCCTTGTCCTCTGTCCCCCACCACTGATGTCTTTACTGTGGGAACAGGTGCTCCCTAGACTTGCCATCAGCACGGTGGGCGGGTCCACGCTCCCCTGCTTTGCTCTGGGGACTCAGCCCGGGGCTCCCTAGGCTGCTTGCGAAATAGGCTTCACCCAGACCTGCTTGCCCAGCCCCCAGGACTGGGGTTCAGGGCCCGCGTTTTCCAGCCAGGTCCCCCAGGAGCTTCGTGGGCCCACTCTAGGCACGGAGGGCACCCTGTGCTGTGAGGTTCCTGTGTGCCCTCGCCCCATTTTCCCTCCTACCCCCAAGTTAAAGCACTTTCTTTCTAGGGCAGCTTCCTCTCTGCGGGTGCCTTGGCCACTTCCCTGGCTGGGGATGGTGGGTCTGGCCCCGTCTTCCCAACCGGGGCTGGGGACCTGGAGGCTGGAGGACAGGCTTCCTCACTCCTGCCTTTCGCTGTTCCAGGCAGGCGGGGAGCAGGGCTCCGGCTGGCTTCGCTGCGGCCCAGCTGGGCTCCCCGCTCTGTGCACTGCCCACTCCCCCGCCCTCCGAGGTGTCGGCGCCCCCGCGATGCTGGCATCTCAGTGGCTCACTGCACGGCCGACCCCTGGCTCCCAGGGACCCCACCCTCCGCGCTTAGTCCTAGTGCCAGGAATCAGGCTCTCACTCTCTGCCCTTCACCCTGTGTCTCTTCTCCCGCCCTGGGGTCAGGGTCTGAGGAGAGCCACAGGCCCTAGGGCTGCAGCTCCGCAGTGTTACTGTCCCCAGCCAAGTGTCCATGTGGAGCTCGGGAATGTGCCCGGGGCCAGGAGCCGTGGGGTGGAAGACAGAAAGGCCCTGTAAAGTGGGGGTCGTGGCCCCCACCCTATCCGTAGAGACCTCAGATTGAGGTGCCTTTCGTGCATGGCTGCTCCCTGTGGCTTCTCCCAGCCTCTGAGAATCCTCAGAGCGAGAGTCTAGTCCTCGGGCAGTGCTGTGGGCGGGTTCCCCACACACACCTCCCGATGCGGTGCCTGGCGGCGGGGTGCAGGCCAGGTAGGGGCGCACACCCTGCCGCCCCCACACCTGTGCTCCGAGCACGCCTCTGATGCCGCGCTGGAGAAAGCCGGCGGGGAAGTGTTCTTTATCACACACCACCCACATTTCTACAGGTCGTATGCTCTGGCGCCCCTGCATTAGCTAACAGCAAAAAGGATGACGTTTCCTGCAGGACCGCAGGGCTGAAATGTGGCGAGCAGCCTCCGGGCTGCAGCAGGAGGCCTGTGGCCCAGGCCGGCTGCCTTGTTTTGTTTCAAGAGAGCAGCTGGCCTTCACCCGCAGGGCCCGGCTGTCCCTCATTGGAGAGGCTTCCTCTTTTTGCCTCCCAGGAAAACAAGCTGCAGGGCATTGGGAATAGGAGGAGCGAGTGCTCTGCTTTGCCCAGAGTCCTGGCCAAACCTCCACTTCCTTTCCTACCTGTAATCTTCAGGCAACTCCCTGTTCCAATCTGGGTATTCCCCCCACCCAGCACGCTCCAAGACAGACCTTCAGAGCTTTACAAACGGCCTGTTGGTGACAGCCTTAGAGGCCAGGCAGGAGGAACGAGGGACCTCAGCCCGCCCCATTCCCATCGCCACCCCACCCCCCACCGCCAGGCACGTTAGAGTTCGTGAGATACTCCAGAGCTATTGCCTCTCACGCCAGGGTTGGGCTCCGGGCCTGGGTGTTCAGCAGGACAGTATAAAGATGGGTCAGGTCCCGCCTCCAGGTGTCTGAGGACACTCGGGGAGGGGGGAGGGGTAGCCCAGGGGTGTCCTCTCCGCGTCTGGTTTCAGAGATATATAAATCAGGTTTATAAAACCACGATTGACGCTCAGCGTTTTGCTATCTGAATAAAGCAGAGTTTATCTCGACACAATGCCTCTGCCCTGTAAATTATTTTAGCTAGAACTACGAAACTGGAAGAATTGATCAAAGCTAGTTACTTCTGGCTCCACGGAACGCTCACCTTTCGCCCCTGCACCTCTGCCCTGAGGATGGATGCGCGCGCGCGCGAGCCTGCGCCGATCGGGCGGGCCGAGCGCGCTCCCCTGCGCAGCCCTGTTCTGCGGCGCATGCTCGGCGCCCACTGCCCGGCCCGGACCCGCGCGCCCCGGAGCATCTGCCGCTGGTCCTGCACCCAGGTCTGGGCGTCCCGCGCCCCGCCATGACGGCGCACTCTTTCGCCCTCCCGGTCATCATCTTCACCACGTTCTGGGGCCTCATCGGCATCGCCGGGCCCTGGTTCGTGCCGAAAGGACCCAACCGCGGGTAAGGGACGCGCGCGGGCCCAGCCTCCCTGCGGACCCCGCCCGGGGCGAGGGCAGGAGCCGCGGCCCGAGACACGCCCAGCGCCCGCTCCTCCTCCCTTTCCCCCAGGAACTGGCCGGTTGTAGGAGCTAAAGGGCAGAGAGGGTCATCTTTGCAAAAGTGCAGAGCCGACCGACGCGGGCGACGGTCGAGGGTCGCCCCCTCCGGCCAGTCCTGGCTATGGCTAGACGCTGTTGCAGTTGTGCACACCGCACCGACTGTGACCTTGAGCGAATACGACCCCGCTGCAGCCTCCCTTTCTTCCTGGGTGAAAGGGGGATGATGATGATGGCTGCCTTTCAGGCTGCTGGGAGGGTTACACGAAATAACGCATATGAACGGTGCGTGACTCGCGTTATGCACGGAATCCTGTTTTAGCCCGCGTGACTGGCCCGCCGGGGGCTCCGAGCCGATTCCTCTGCCTGTCGCACCGTTCACCGATTTGTGCTTCATGTTCTCCCCGGTTGTCAAGTGCGGTGTCCCCTTGATTTCAAGTTCCTCGGGGCTCCAGATGGCTTTGTCGGCCACTGTACACCCCGGTGCCCAGCGGGGGACTGGCCCGCCGTGCTTGGTAATGCTCAAAGAATGGATCAAGTGCTACTATCTCTGGCGCAGACTTCAAGTGCATTGGGTCTGAAGTCCTAGGGCCTGGCTTGGATTCAGTGTAGCTCTGGCTGGAGGCCTTTTGCACATAAGGGCATTTCCTCGGTCCTTCAAAATGTGCAGGGCCGAGGTCCCCGGCTTCACCTTGTAAGCCATCTTAGTTTCTCCCCTGCTGCGTTATAAGCTCCGGTCTCCGGTGTCTGAGTGGACACGAGGTAGCTGATCCCTGTGCTCCTTCCAGCCACTCACTCTGCCTCGGACATGGCTCACAGCCTCATGCTTCTTGCCCCGTCTCCGGTCTTCTGTGTCCCTCCCCTTACCCAATGATTTCTGAATTCCGGAGACCCCTCCACAGTGGGCTGCTGCACGTGCATGTCTGTGAGTGTCCTTTCCCAACACTGAGCATTTTTATTTTCCATCTGAGGGGAACTCGGCCTCCTGCGCTCTCATGGTACCGGGAAGGCCGACGGGGAAGGGGCCGACCTCAGGAGCTCCTTCTGCGGCCCTGGCCCGGCCGCCGGAGGAGGGCACGGGTTCCATCCGCGGCCCTGACCTGGCACCCTCTCCCATTGCAGGGTGATCATCACCATGCTGGTAGCCACTGCTGTCTGCTGTTACCTCTTGTAAGTACCTCTCTCCCCGCTCAAAATCAGCCGGCGCCTGTCTCCTCCCTTCCTCCTCCTCTCCCTTGACACCGTCCCCATAGTGACAGGTTCGGCTCCTGAAAGGCTGAGCCTGTAAAACTCAGGAGAGGAGGTGGTTCGAAATGGCCAAGAGGGCGACGGGCTGGGGGTCAGGAATCCGGGTTCTGGTTCTGAAGGTGTTGCTGGGCGGGCGTCGCGACGCCCACAGGCCGCAGCTTGCTCATCCGAGAGCTGAGTGAGCGGGGCGGCTCAGCGCTTTTCATGCCCGACGTGGCATCAGAATCGCCGGGGGGACTGGACCCACGGAGTCAGGGTCTGCACTTGGGAATCCGTATTTATAATGCACGTCAGGTAGAGCCCCCAGACGGGCGGTCTTTAAACTTGAATAGGGACCCTGGGGACGTTGAAGAGCCTTCTGAGGGATTCAAAAACCTGGACCATGCGAGGGAATCCATTTCCAGGTTCTCGGCGTGTAGATGGCCTCTTTCTAAAACTGCCGTTCATGGTCGTTCCTCCCCCTTCACGAAAAAAGACAGCCCACCCCTCCCTCCATCCCCAGTCCTTCGATGTTTCCTGCTCCGTGCTTACACCGTCCTGGCCACCAGACCGAGGAGCAAGTCCGCATCCGGGGATTAGGGAGGCCTCTCTCTCGGTCAGTTGAGCCCACAGAAGCCCCGTCTGGCTTCCCATCTGCCTGGGCTTCGTACGCCATTTCCATGGGTTCAGTTTGGTGTTGGCGGATGTTCTGAATTCAGAACAATCAAGACAGGACAGGTAACATGATGAAATGCTGATTTTTTGAAAAGTAACAGAGTCTTTTGAAAGTAACTGGACTATCTCTCAGGACTGCCAGGTTTTTCAAATACTTAGGCCAATGCCCACATTTTAAAACCATTTTCATGATTGATTTCAGATTTGGTCCCTGCTATGTAGTTAAAGCCCCTTATATCTAATTGGATCATGAGCGATTTATTCCTTTTAGTCCATTCTAACTTTATATAATGTTTACTATTTCTACCTCCTATTAACAAGAAAATAAAACTAGTTAAAGATCATGATGAGGCTCAGACTTCTCCCTGGACAGAGCATCTTCGAGGCCCTTTCTCTGCGCTGTTTCTTGGCCTTTCGGGGCTTGACAGGAGTCCTCCCCTCTCCCGGGGAGGGCCTGCGAGGGGCTGCAGTGTGAAGGCTCAGAGTCCAGTGTCTAGGGCCGTGCGGGAGACAGAGCAGGACGTGGGTAATTACAGGCACCAACTCAGCCTGTGGGAGGGGAGCCTGGGCCCCAGATCTGAGGCAGGCAGGGCGACTGAAGCAAAGGCCACGCCTAGAAATTATATTTACCAAACATGAACTGGGGTGATGCTGATGATCAGCAGGCAGCGATTTCCGACAGCGTCCTGGGGGTCAGGCCGGGACCGGCTGCGGTGGGGCTTTGGAGGCGGGAGAGCTGGATCCCTCCTGCAAAGCCACGCCGAGCACCGTTGGCACCATCTTTGGCAGCATGCAAGGCTGGGCCCCTCTAGGGTTTGGGGGGGCCTGCTCTGTGGGCAAAGTCATGGTGATGGGGCCCGACGTGCCCCCCACATGTGCAGCCTGCCACTGGTCCCTGGAGAGCCCACTGTTCTACCCCAGCAGGCCTGGGAGTGGGCGTTCTGGTCCCCAGATCTTCGTATTGGGCTAGTTCCTTCATCTTGCTCCTACAAGGGGGTGAATCTGATGAGCCTGTCATCAGACTGGCCCTGTCCTGCTCCCAGGTACAGATCAGGCGGCCCAGACCAGGGGTGTATTTGGGCCCAGTTGGGAGTCGCTCCCTGTGGCCCAGGGAAGCTGTCTTGCCCGTTCCCTCATCCCAGGGCCTGGCCTCCGCTCGGGGATCTCACAGATCTATAGAACATCCCAGCAAACCAACCTGCACCAAAACCCACGGCCCCGGGCCCAGCCCGCCTGCCTGCCGGGGTGTGCAGGCTCCGTGGGCCCCTCCCCCCAGAACAGGCCCTGCGGCTGGGGTGGTCAGGCGCCCATGAGCCTCGCCTGCCTCACACCGGGTAGGTTCCTGCTGCGTCTCGGCTCACCGTCCCTGTGCTGTCCCTGGCAGCTGGCTCATCGCCATCCTGGCGCAGCTGAACCCCCTGTTTGGGCCGCAGCTGAAGAACGAGACCATCTGGTACGTGCGCTTCCTGTGGGAGTGAGCGCTGCCACCTCAGCCCAGGTACCAGGGCCGTGGGTGGGGCTGGGGCCGTGGGTGGGGCCGGGGCCTGGCACGGGGAAAGGGAAGAGGCCTGGGAAAGGGAAGAGGCCGGGCTGTTGTAGGAGTTTGCATTTGGATTCAGATATTCATTTATTCAGCCCCCAAACCCAAAAAGTGCCGTGCACCCACTGCCTGCCTGCCTGGCACTGTGCTGGGCACCGGGACGGACGGCAAACCAAGGCCGCGAGGTGCTTCCCTGGAGGGCCCAGAGGGTGTGGCGGGTGCAGGACCCGTCCTGAGAGGGGAACCCCTGGGCGAGGAGCGTCGAGGCAGTGACGGGGCCCACGGGCAGAGGCGGGGGGGGGGTGTGGGACAGTGGGTCACCACCACGAGGAGGTGACCCGTTGGTGTGATGTGATTTTCAGGTCCCCCAGCTCTCTGGATGACCGCGGCACAACTGTCCCTGAAGACCCCTTTGTCTCCATCCCCACAGCTGCATCCTGGTGCCCCTGTGCTCCCTCCCCAGGGCCTGCCCGGTTCCTGCAGGCGCCTGCTTCCCCAGCGGGGCAGGCAGGAGCCGAGAGATCCGCCCGGCAAGCAGGACCTGGCCAAGGGCGGGATCTGCCCAGGAAGGCCCTGCGTCTTCCGGAGAAGTGGGCGGGGCGGAGAGGAAGCCCCGGGCGGGGAGTCCGGGTTAGCTCCGCCCTGCCCTGTTGTGCGACCCCAGGAAGCCCCCCTGCTTACCCGGCCTCCTTGCCAGAGAAGTGGAGGGCGGAGCTCCTCCCTGGTGTGACAAAGGCATTTCTTGGGATTCTTTAATTTCCCGAAAATGTTGAAATAATGGAAAAACACCCTCCAAACCATACTGATTTGGTTTGATAGAAACTTGTGTGTTTCGCATCCTTTATAAAGTCACCTAAATTGGCTCAGAAAGTTGTACCTCCTCAGAATATCCTGTTCCACTCTCCTCCTGTACCCGCCTCCCCTCCCCCCAGACTCAGAAACAAGGCAGCTTTCACCCCTGATCTGGGCTCCATGAGGCTGAAGCGAGGGCAGATTGCCGGGCCCCTCACAGCAGCACGTAGGTCATCTGAGCTGTGGAGGCTGAAGAGAGAAGGTGTAGGCAAGGTTCGGGAGACACTGGGCTCCCGAGGCCAGCACCAGACCTGTGTGCCACCGGTGAGCAGGGATGGAGGGGCACTGGCCCAGGCTCGTTGTGCAGGCCGCAGGTCGGAGGGATCCCAGGAGCCCCAGCCCATGCCCTCGCCTCCCAGGAGAGCAGAGGCTGAGATCTCAGACACTTGCCCTTGGTCCCAGAGCTCATTGGAGTCCCCTCTCTACCGTGTTGCCTCCCTGGAGAAGAGGCCAATCTTGTGTTTATTGACTGTATGTGTTTGATTGGCCTTCCTCCCACTTAATGGACGCTGTTTTTGGACCGGCGGTAGAATGCGAGGCGTCTCGCCCGGATTCCTTGGTCTGGGCTCCGCCTGTTGCTCAGAGCCCAGGCCAGGGCCTCCCCTTGACATCTCACCATCTCCCGTTTGAGCTTCCTGCTCCTCCTGGCCCCAGTGGCCCTCCTGGCGTGGGGGTGCTGCATGTGGGTTGTACAGAAAACCTGATCCATGTCTGCAACTCGCGAGTGGCAGGAAGTCACTGTCTGGTGGCCGAGTCCTGGGTGAGGCCAAGTTTGCTGGCCGCCCTCCCCTGCCCGCCTGACTCCCACATCCTCAGGGCGGGGGCTGAGGACAGGAAGGAGGACTGGCAGCTGCTTGCAGCTGCGACTCGGGGACATGGACACAAAACGACATTTTCCTGAGGCCTGAAGGAAAGGACAGCTGTCCCAGATTCTGCCGGAAGCAGGAGGAAGCGGGAGCGGGGGACTGGCTCCAGTGGAGCCTCGACCACCACTCACCTGTGCCCCCAATTGCAGAGTGAAGAGCTCCTGGGCCGAGCAATGAAGCGTACGGTCGCCTGCCACATTCCCGGATTCCCCGGGGGCCCGCATCTGCCTGCTCCGCGCCTGGCCTGGCTGAGGGCCTGCATCCTGCCTGGGGTGGGGGCAGCGAGCGGAAGGAATTGGCACTTCAAGGCCAGGGGGGAGCCAGCCGTATGAAGTTTGGGGTGGAGAGGGGCACAGAGGAGGGACCAGACTGCTGAGAGCCTGGCAAGGAGCTTGGGTCCACCCAGAGGGCACTGCAAAGCCATAAAAGAGTTTGCAAGTGTGGGAGAGGGACATGCCCCAGTTGATCTTTGCAGGGTGTGTAACGGACAGGGGCCTGGTGATAGGGCCCCAGGGGAGAGCGAGAACGAGTGGGTGGATCAAAGGTCTACTTAGGAGCTAAGGTGATCAGCACGTTGGCCATGGGAGAGGAGGCGGGGATCCGTGGGGCCTGCCCTGGCAGTGGACCCTGGAGAACGGAAGGTACTCTAAGCTGCACACACACAGGGTGGCCAGCAGAGGGCAGCACCTGCACACAGAATGGAAACCTCCGGAGACTAGTCCGTGCATTGCCACCTGGGAAGCTTGACGTTACAGGGTTACAGGTCGTGTAGCCTCACGGGTCTTAGTGTGCGACTGTTAGCAGGGAGCAGGGACAGCTCCCAAGACGGTTCCACAGCCTGGATGACGTTTCTCTCAAGGCTGTGTACCAACAGCAACCACGACCGATGCTCACTGAGCAGTGAGCAGGGAGGTGCCAGGCGCAGCTTGCTGAAATCGAAAGGCAAAGAGCCAGGGCAGCTTGCCAACCTGGTGCTCGGGTGCCAGGCTTCCCAACAGCCTTCCCTGGCCTTTCTCACCTCAAGGTCCTGCCAGAGCTGGCAAATCCCATCTGTTACAGGGACACCCACCAGCCCAGATTCTCAAGGGCGTGGGGGACGAACGTATAGACAGATTATGCCACGGCATCGCCCTCCTTGATGAAAAGCCTGAAGCGAGGCCCCTTGATGATGCCTGGGACAGGAATAGGGTCCTCGATGACTTTGGGACTGTGAGAAGGGGGAGGGTTGAAATCGGTGGGGGTGGTTACCGTTGCTTCAATAATGGCCTGTGTGCTGGAAGGGACCTTTGTTTATAAACCTTGGAGTTTCCAGGAACAAAGTCAGTTGACAACTTCCCCTCCCCCACCCTGGTTTTGCTTGACTTGTGACATCAGGACAGTGAGAGCAGATGACCAAAGTCTGCACTCACAGCCCAGTTGCGTGTTAACAAACCTGCATGAGAATCACTCAGAGCAAAACAAGCCCATGGAATGCTGGGACCCGGTGGATTACGACAGAATCTCCCCGGGGGCTGGAGCAAGAACCCAGGCTGTGCAGAAGCGCCCCTGGGGGTTATCTGGCCGTCCCCAGTGCAGGCACCGGCGAGCTGGAATCAGGCACTGGCATTTCTCAGGGGGGAGAATGGCCCATCTACACTAGAATTACCGGGACTGCTTGCAAATGCAGATTCCTGGTGCCCACTCCAGACCCTGCCGGACTAGAATGTCACAGTCTAGACTCAAGACTTAAGCCCTGGCTGGTGTGGCTCAGTGGATTAAATGCTGGCCTGTGAACCAGAGGGTCGTCAGTTTGATTCCCAGTCAGGGCACATGCCTAGGTTGTGGGTCAGGTCCCCAGTAGGGGGTGCGTGAGAGGCAACCACACGCTGATGTTTCTCTCCCTGTTCTCCCTGTCTTTCTCCCTCCCTTCCCCTCTAACAAAATCTTGCACTGTTGGATATTCAGCAGCATCCTGCCCTCTATCAACCAAGTGCCAGCAGAACCCATCTCCCTGCTTCCAGGTGTGCCAACCATATAGGTCTCTAGCCATTTAAAAATGTTCCTTTGTGGGCTAGGTCCCCCCAACATATAGATTTGACGCCTCAAGTGATTGCTAAAAATTTAAGCCATTTATCAACCCAGAGCCCCTGTGAAAGAGGGTGGAAGACCCTGATGAAAGATGGTATGCTGAGTGCCAGGGTGGCCCGTGCGCCTTCCCCAGCAGGCCTGGAGCTTCCGACCTGGGCCACGCCCTGGGGAGATGGAAGCACCCCAGCTTTAGGGGATGGCTGGGTGTCTGAGTGGACTCTCATCCCAGCCCCAGGTGGCCCAGCAATCAGCTGGGGGCTCATGGGAGGCCAGGAGAGGGAGGGAGCTCTGGTGTCACACCGGGCCAGGTAGAACCTTGAGCTTCCCCTGTAGGCATCTTCCCTGAAAGGGGGCGGTGGGTATCGTTAGGATGGATGTTCTCAGAAATCCACGGAACCCCCCTCAGTTCCCTACACTCAGGATCACGGGCCATGATGCCAGCGAAGCTTCTCCTCCCTACTAAAAAGGTCAGCTTTCCGCTCCCCTGACAAAGACCGGGGGAGAGGGGGGCGGGGCGGGGCACGAGGATGGTGGGTTTCTTTACCTGCCCACTCCCATGCCTCACGCTGCAGGGGCGCTGGGCCCCCTGAAGGACTGCTGCAGAGGCCGCAGCCTTTATCGGTTGCTGTACCAGGTGCAATAGCCATTGATTCGGCAACCGTATTTGTCTCTTTTGTCTTTCTGCCCAGGTCATATTTGTCTTTTTTGTCTCTCCCAGATCATTCCTCTTGTCAGAGCAGCCCAGCTCAGCTCAGCTTCGAGGCTGAGAGTGCAGAATTGAGAACTGGGCTGCCTGGGTTCAAGTTTCTGCTCCAGGGATTAGCAGCTGAGCAAAAGCTTCTCCATCTTTGGAGCTTCAGTTTTATTGCTGAGTTGGTATAATAATAATAGGAATGCCTGCCTCGCAGAGGTTGCGAATATGAGCTGAGAGCACGAACTCAAGTGCCTGGCTTGTCAATAAATGCCTGCTAGTAACTATATTCCTTTTACGCATTAACTCTCCAGTTCCATGCCCCATTTTGTCCTGCCAGGACCTTGGCATCCTTTGCCTTTTCTCGTTCCCATCGCGGACACCACGCCCATCTGACTTGATGAAAAGAAAGATGGTCACCCTGAGTGCTTTGATATGTGACAGGACCTGGAAATTAGTAACGCGGAAAATGCCTGGGGCCTGTTTATGTGTCTGTAGTCCTGTTTCGTGTCAAATGTTCCTAACATAATCTTTAGTGGCAGTGTCCTCTCAGGAAACACACTAATGCTGGGGGTGGGGGGGTGGGGGTGGGAAGAGGAGGGGATGGGTAGTAGAAGAGCTATGCTGGTTCTAAAGTTCTCAGGGAAAAGTAACATGAACAAATTTTGAAACTGCACTTTGGGTATGGTTGTCCTTTCCTGTGACATAAAATGCAAAAGGTTTAAATAAGTTGGCAGTGAAAAGTCTCCTCTCTGACCTCTCAACAGGCCAGCTCCTTCTCAGAGTCCTATTACCGTTCTTGTTTGTCTTCCCAGGGAAGTTCTGTGCATGTAGAAGCAAACACGTTAAAGGACCATTTCTCCAAGAAGATGTAACAATCCTTAACAGGTAAGTGCCTAACAACAAGGCATCAAAAACGTGAGGCAAAAACTGCAAAGAGAAATAATTGATTGCGTAGTTGGAGACTTCAGCATTCCTCTATCAGAAATAGAAGCAAGCACATACATGTTCATATGTGTGTATATATATATATTTCAATCAACAGTATACTAATTATTACATATACAGAGGTGTATTCTTTCTTTTTTTAAACACATAAAACCTGCACTGTTCTCTATCTTGTTTTTCTTTTTCTTTTTGTACTGGATGATATATCTTGAAAAATCAGTTCATACCAATACATTGTTTATTATTCATAATATTATTCATAATATTGTTATATGGAGTACTATTTTTTTAATACACTGGGCTTGTTTTAATATCTCTTATTGCTTTCCATTAATCTAGTCTTTAATACAGTGCACCAGTACAGTGTTTCAACTGCAGTAGCTTTACGCATACTTGTATGTGTTGTAGGATTTGTTCCCACCTACCCCTAACCATTACTATTCTTTGTTCGAATTTTTCTAAGCCATTCTTGCTTATTATTCCTTCTGAACTTCTGTTCAGAAAAAGATTGTTAGAATTTTTATTGGGATTTAATTAAATTTGTAGATTATTTTAGAGATAACTAATATCTTTAAGATATTAAGTCTTCCTAACCCTGAACATGATATGCCTTTTTACTTGTTCAGGTATTCTTTTTGTAGTCCTTAGTGACGTTTAAAGGTTTATAGTTTTTTACATTGATTTTGTATATTTCTTGTAAAGCTTTTTCCATGATGTTTAATCTTTTTTATTGCTATTAAAATGTAAACTTCCTTCCCTTTATATTTCTAAGTGGTGGTTGTTGGCATAGGCGGAAGATTTTGATTTCTGTATATTAATATTAAACACAGCTACTTTACTTAAGCTATTTTTTTTGTTGTTGTTTATTATCTCGTGTCTCCTAGTTTTACAATCAAATCACCTCCGGCTCTAGAGTGCAAAAGACCGGCTCTGAGTCCATTATACATGGACCTCTCTGTACCAGTACAACTTCAAAATTATCTGTGGCTCCTCTCACCTCCTTTAACACGCTATATAACTAAATCTGTGTCCTGATCTGCGTAATCGAAAAACTAATACCCCATCTCTGAGGCATGAGGAGAGTCACATAAGATTTAAAATAACGTTGATAAAGTGTAAAGATGTATACTTTTGTTGCAGGGTCCTAGTTTTAGCCCAAGCTAGTGAATTGTACCTGGAGTCCTTTTTCCTGAGGCAGAGGAAGCGCGCTGGAAGGAGATGGAAAAAACAGCGCACCCCTGGGAAGAGCAAGGAGCTCAGGGTAGCCTGTCAGACAAGAGTCGGGCCAGGTGGGACCAACGAGGGAGAGGGAAGCACTCTCCGCTCAGCCCAGGGGACGGGGCCCTTTTGGCTCCGGATGGTTCAGTGCGGGGAGGGGACAGAGCGCCCAGTGGACGTGGCCACAGACGTTCACGAACGTCCGACCTTCGGGGTGTCACCGGACAGCGGAAACTTATCCCCAGAGACAGCCTGAGTGAGTTTGCTGAAATGCTGGGTGAGTCCTCGAGCCAGGAAGGGAGCCCCGATATGTGGATCACTATCGTTCTAGTTGTCATTTCTGCCTGCACGTGCACACGAGACCCGGGTCGCACTTGGGCAGTCAGACTCCCGCGGTGCAGAGCCCGGAGTGGAAGCAGCCTTGGGGACAGGTTAGTGGAGGAGGAAGCCTAGGCCAACGCCTGCCAGGAACGCACATGACTGCATTTTTCAAGGATACACCACTAGCCAGAAAGCAGTAAACTAGAACATTAAGAAGCCGGGTTACCGCGAGAGCGGGGCGCGACTTCCGGGAAGGGGGCGGTGCGCCCCATCGCTTCCGGCCGCGACCGCCCGCACCTGCGCACTCGGGACTGGCCGGCGGCTGGGAATAGGACCAACCGCGGGCGGGGATGTGTATGTGTGGGGAGGGCTGCACTCCCGGAAGTAGCCCCTAGCGCGCCCCGGAAGCTGAAGTCCCCTCTAACTCTGCCGGGCCCTTCCGGTGGCTTGCACCTCGGTTTAAGGGTGGGAGGGCGCGTGCGACGGCTCGTCCCCACGGGCCGCGGAGGTGCGGTCGGCTACGGTGGGAGGTGCGCGCGGCTTCACAGCTACATCAGCCCGGTCTTAGCGGGCGGCTGGCCAACTCCCGAACCCCTGGTTTTAGGTAAGCCGGGGGCAGGGCATTGTCGTCCCACTTTACAGACGCGGACGTTGAGGCCGGGCGGGGCGGGGGCTCCTGGCCCAGACCTGCCCCGCCCACCGGACGGCTAAGGAGTCCTTCTCCGAGGTTGGCCTCCGCTTCCAGGTGTCTAAAACACGCCAGGTGAGGCCAGAATGTACTAGACAGCGGCCCGTATACATCACGCACTCTGTTACTATATGCATTAACTCAGTCCTTAACAGGCCTGGGAGGTGGGTGCTGTTACCCTTGTGTAGTCAAGAAGACCAAGGCGCACGGGCTGGTGGGCCGAGACCCACACGGACCCGCTCTGGACTTTATCCTCGCAATCCTTTAAGGAAAGCAAGCAGCCTCGCGGAAAAGAGCAAAGGATTCTACTTTTGGCTGGTGTGTAGTTTAAAACGGATCTCGTTTTATGTCACTTTTGCATAACGTGAACTCTGATGATGCATGATGATTGTTTAAAACATCTTTCTTAGGATTTGCACGTAGCCAAATTTGCATGTGGGACAAACCTCCAAAATATGTAGTGGCTTGCTCTAGTCTGCCTTCCACACACTCCTTCCACCCTTTTCCTCACCACCTGTCTGTCTTCTGACAGGTGAGTGGCCGGCGGATGAGAGGCAGAGCCCAGTAAGTGCTTTGAACTCCCCTGGGGTCTGGGGGGCAGGCACCCTCTGCCGCTGCAGGAGCTGAGAGAAGAGGGGGCCCGTGGGACTGGGCAGAGTGAAAACTCAGAGCAAGATCTAGCATATTTACCAAATGCCCTGGGTGGGCTGAGCTCCACACGAGGCCCTGGGGTGTGGCAGGCACAAGAGAAAAGGGAAAGTGGCCCCTTTCCTTCTGGCCATGCATGTGGGAAGAGGCCTGGTACCTGTGGTCCAAAGAGTCTCTAATCCGTGGAGCCAGCCTCCCCCCGAGCCTCGCCCGCTCACCAATCCCCGGCTTACCGGCGGCTTGCTGCTTCTGCCTGTACGCGGCTTCCCCTGGGGAATCGAGGCTCCTGCGCACACACTGTCTCAGTTCCTTCTCCTGCCCGTACTAAAGGGCCTGCTGCCCCCGTAGCCATCCTTCCACCTTTGCTCTGTTCGAAGAAATAGATTCTTCTCTCCAGAGATAAACCCACACGCCCACCACTGGTGCTCTGGATCCCTTCCCTCAGGAAGCTCCTGCCATCGTTCTTCGTGGCTCCTCTCTTCCCACTGCACCGTTTTCTCTGTTCAGAGACACAGCCAAGCCTTTTCCCTTCCGTCCCAAAGTGCAACCCTCCCTTCCCACCCGCCCCTTGACGTTGCAAGTGGCTGCCTCCCCCACTTGTCATGGCACAGCCCTGGGCTCCACCTTCTTCACCCGCTGAAATGACCTTGCCTACCCTTTCTGGAAAAATCTCTTGGCTTTGCTAACTATGTTTTTCTGACTCCCTCCTTTGCTTGTCAGTCATCTTTGAAGTCTGCTCATCCTCCACCCTCCCCACAGTGTTGGTGTTACCTGGGCAACCACCCTCCGCTCTCCTTCGTCTGGCATTTCCTTCAGTTTCTAAGGATACTTTTACATGGATCTGTGTCTTTGGTTCAGAACTCAATCCCCTGACCCATGTCTCTGTCATATCTGAAGATTTGTTACAGAAGACCCTTAAAATCAACGTCTCCGAAACTGACCTCCGTTAGGAATGGGAGCACTAGGGAATCCCTCTGTATCCCTTCCTTGTCCTCCACATCTCAACTCAAGCCTAATACGGCTCCTGAATAGCTCTTTAAGCTGCCCCATCCTCTCCCGCCCCTTTGGCGTCCCCCGCTCCGGCCCTCCTCACCTCCTGCTTCCCAGCGCTGGGCCTGCCAGCGAGGCCCCGTGCAGCGCCCTCCTGACGGCTGCCCTGTGTGCAGCCTGAGAGCCTCCGTCTTGCAGTTGTCCTCAGATGTGCGTTTGTCGTCCATTGTGGGAAGTGTCACAGTAATTTCTTACTAATAAAGCACAGGAGTTTGTGGATGATTTTCTTTTTAAATTACATATATGTTTTTTAATCTTCGTCTGAGGATGTTTATTGATTTTAGGAAACGAGGAAGGGGGAGAGAGAGAGACATCGAAGTGAGGGAGGAAGATTGATAGGTTGCCCCCTGCACAGGCCCCAACTGGGGATCGAACCTGCAACCCAGGCATACGCCCTGACTGGGCATCAAACCCACAAACTTGTGGTGCAAGGGATGATGTTCCTACTGGCTGGACCGCCCAGCCAGGGCTATGTTTTGTGTTTTATATTCATTGAGAGTCAACACTGGCTCTTCATAGTGTTGGCCTCGCGGCCATCCTCGTGGGCTTCGGGGGAAGAGAAGGGCCACCACTGCTGGTACCAGTGACGGCACAAGGTCTCAGACCCACCCAGGGGGTCTGTCAGGCGTCTCTAAGGACCCTAACGCAGTGGGCTCAGGTGAGTTACCCCTTATAAGACAATCCAAATTCCACTGTCACAGATGTGACCTCATGTGAGGTCAGCCCAAGGCCTGGCACCCACGGTGCCTCCCACGGCCTGCATCGCTCCAGGGCCGTGAGCCCGTGTCCAGGGTGTTCCCTTGTCTTGAGCCCTGAGTGCTGGCCCGGCTGTTGCTCTCTCTTTGCATCTGTAGGGCACAGTGCTGACTCATGGCAGATACTTGATGAATTTTTGTTAACTGGTCAAACAGACCAGAAGCACCGGCAGAATACAGACATGCTGAGGGGACATGGCTAATGGGGGAGCGGAACAGGATTGGCGTGACCCAGACCGCAGCCCTAACACACGCTCTCTACCACTGCCAGTGAGGGCGGGCATGTAGGCGGGGCTTCAGAATGCCGTCCTGTCTTCTTGGGGTGAGGAAGCCTGCAGACTGCTTCCCTGGACCCGGTGCCAGCTCTGGTCTTCCGCGCTGCCTCTGACTGTCAGGTCGCCGCTCTGGTCTCTGTTTCTTTGGTCATAAAGTAAGAACTGTGGTAAGACCCCTCCAGTTCTGACACCTTAGAGCACTTCTGGGACCTGGACAATGTCTTGCATTTCATTTGCATCTTCATTCGGCCCCTCCCAGCGTGGTGGTGACTGACTGACCTCTTGCATGAAGGGAAGGGCGGGAGGCCACTGCCTCTGGGTCTTTCCGAGGCGCTTCAGCTGGAAGGAGCCCACGAGTGTCATGCTGCCTACGCTCCTCCCTGGGCGGAGCCACCTGCAGGGGCAGTCCTGCCATCCCTGGTGGTCCTTCTTAATGTTTAACGTCACTCATTGGCCGAGCGTACTGGTTTAAAATCTTGTTTAGCGAATGTCTTGTTTCGGTCTGAGGAGAGGAAGACCGCTCCCTACCTGAAGTCTGTGGTGGGATTCCTGAGCCATCTTCCTCTGCACTTTCTCTTTCCTAAGGAAACACATCCTGAGTCACTGGGCCCTTTCATTTTCTTCTCTCCATGTACTTCGCTTGCTTCCTTATGTCTCTTTCCTTGTGAGAGCCCTGAATTTGACCTAATCTCCAGGAAACTGAACGAGGTAAGGGTTATGCCTAGGTTAGGGCTCTGTGCACCTGGGTGAACAGATGGCTGTTTGCGTTGGCTGTAGGATGGGCAGGTGAGCCAGAGAGGCCAGGCAGTCACCAGGGTGGAAGTGCCATCCCAGCTGGGGACAAGGCACAGCCTTCCTGGGAGATGGTGGAGAATGAGAGGAGAGGTCTAAGAAGAAACCCCAGGGAACACCATTAAGGGACAGGCCGAGGAAGAAGGACCAGACAGACTGGAGAGGAGGCACAGGTGAAAGAAAAACAGAAAACGTCGTGTCCCAGGGCCCCGAGGAAATGGCCTTCCAAAAGGAGGCCCCAGGCAGGCGCTTCAGGGGTCGCCTGCTCACTGGGCCTGCTGGGGGCCTCGGCAGGAGCGGGAACTGGGAGCGATGGGGACCAGAGCCAGAGAGGAGAGGGTTTCGAGGGGGATGGGAGATGGCAGTGTATAACCAGCCCTTCAGGAGGGTCTGTGACAGAGAGAGGAGAATGAAGGGACACTGGGAAGCTAGGAGCTACCCCATCCTGTGTTCTCTGCTGGGGACTGACTTCTAGAGAAGGAAGGTCAAAGGGTCCGAGCCAAGCCTCTGGCTGAGAATTCCTCAGGCTGCCTCACTCCTGAACGCTGAGCCGAACACTATTCCTGGTCCCCTGTGCTGTGCCAGGTGCAGCCTGGCGCTCTGGACACAGACTGGTAGGCTCTGCCCCCTCCTGGCTTATGCTTATAGTGTCTAGTGCCCGCATCTCTTCCAGAGTAAACCTGCCTGGCTCTGTGGTGAGGTCACTCCCCTCCCTGGGGTCTTTTGGCCTTGCACCTGCTCCTTAATACCTGCACCGTGGCTCTCGTTCTACTCATCGGAGTGACTCTTAAATCTATCCCTCCCACCAGCCTGGAAGCCACATGCACGCATGAGCCTTGCCTGCTGTATATTCTATCCACCACTCAGAAGAATTGCCAAGTGTGCACTAGGTTCTCAATAAACATTGAGAGAAAAAAGAGACACACCAGTCAGTTTGGGAAGAAGATGGACACAGGAAGCTCTAATGTGCTTGGGGCTGTGGGGATCTCCGCCGAGGGCCGCTCCTTTGGGTACAGGGGGTGAATGGCAGGCTTCACCAAGGAGGTTGAGGTCTTGAGAGTTTTGTCTTGGGACTAATTTCATATAACTGCGCCTTTTGTCCTCTGCTGTCTTTCCCCTCTGGACCTCGCCTTCCCCCTCAGTGTACCCCAAAGTCGAGTAGGGCAGCTGAGAGCCATTCTTTTTATCTTGCTTTGCAGCCTGGGCCCATCTTCTCCTTGTCCCAAGTCCCCAAGCATGTTGGAAGTAGAAAGAATCAAAAGGCTCCCCAAGAGGCACGTGCCCTCAGGATCTGTCTCCCCCATGACCAGACCCCAGAGCTCAGCTGCTGCAGAGACTTCACCTGGCTCCAAGTTCAACACCAGAGCTACCAGTACTTCTTGTCGACACGGGAGGGGTGCCTGGGAGGACCTGCCAGAGACTGAGATCAAAGTTGAGTTTGTAGACATAGAGGAAAAGGCCAGCAGTGGCCACAGGAAGAGCAGATCCTCTGGCTCCCAAAAGGGGAGTGACAGGGATCTGCCCCTGCAAAGGAAGAGACCCCGCCCCCTCCCTAGCAACTCTTCTGTCCCCTCATCTGACCAAGTTTTCCTGGAGGAGCAGGAGGAAGGTGCCCTGAGCCTACATGTCTGTAGCAAGAAGAGAAGAGCCTGCTCCCCGGGGAAGCCTGGTTTTTACTCAGCTGCCTCCCGTGCAAAGAGCCAGGCCAGCCCAGGGCAGAATAAGCCAAAGGGAGACACTCAACCCCGTGGCCTGAAATCTGTGCTTGGACAGGAGCCCTCTGTCCAGCCTGAGAAGAAGGTGTCCAGGCAGAAGGCACGTGGACGGAGAAAGGTGGGGCGGCTGGCAGGAAGGAAGTCAAGAGACCCAGTGCTCCTCTCTGGCCCGGCCCCTTCCACCCCAGTGCTGGTGCAGGCAACCAATCCGGCCCGGTCAGAGGTGGGCCATCCTAGCGAGAACGAGGAGACAAGGCAAGCTGACATACTCATAGCCTGTCTGGACAGAGAGGTGCGACGCCTCAAGAAGTGGAAGAAGAGGTGTTTACTTCCTCATGTGGGGGAGAAGTCATCCCTGCTGAGCTCCCAGAAGCCGCCCAGCCTGAAGAAGCTGGTCAGAACTATAAAAGAGACCGAGGGCTGGGCTTCTCGAGGGCGTTCCCCAGGCCCTCAGGACACCACAGGTCAGAAGCCTGCGCTGGATGTCAGACGGTTCTTCACCACTGACTGTAAGAACATGTGCCATGTCACCTGCAGTCTGTGTCACACTTGCATTAAACATGGGCTGGAGCGGGAAAGAAGGCCAGTTGTAGCCATCCCAGGCAGGGAAGGGGCAGGGGCCGTGGAGAAGCAGAAGGGCCTGCCCGCAGGTGCCTCCAGCCTTGTCCAGGAGGGCATCTCATCCTCAGGACACTGCCCAGGTGGCTCACCCTCAAAAGACAATGACAGGCAGTTGTCCACAGGGAGGCACGAGCAGTTGTTACTGGCTCCACCACCCCTGCCTGCTCCCATCAAAGACGAACCTGTTGCTTCCCCAGTGGCCGTCGCGGGGGACCAAGAGGGTCCATGTGCTCCCAGCCAGTCCAGCTCCCAGGCCTGGAACCGGAGCATTGCGGAGTTACTTTGCAGCTTGGCATTGCCACTCTCCTTCCTTTCGTCCCAGCCCTTCAGAAGGTTTATGGCCCAGGTCGACCCTGGCTACCGTCTGCCGTCTCCAGCGTTCTTCTCCGATGAAGCGTTGCCTCTGCTCCACGCGGTGATGGGCGAGCAGGTGCGTCGGGAGATGCAACAGGCTGAGGGCAGCCGCATCCATCTCACCGTGTCCGTGGCGGCCCAGGAGGCGGTCATGGAGGACTATGTGGCCGTCACTGCCCACTGGGGCGTGATACAGCCTGGTAGCCGGCAGGCGGTGTCAGGGAGCCCGAGAAAGCAAGCAGTGCTCTGGGTCCGCGGCCTGCCCCTGGAGAGCAGTGCGGAGGACAGGCGGCGGGAGCTGCGGGAGCAGGTCAGCCTGCGGCTGCACTGCGGCTCCTTGCGACCAGGCTTCCTGGTATCGAGTGGCTGCCCCAGCCTGGAGCCCGCAGTGACAGTGGAGGGCTATACCCACATCCCTTGCTTTGCCCACTGCCTCAACTCCGTGGTGAGAAACTTTCTGTGTCGCCATCACAGTGTCCAGATCATCCTGAGCACAGCCAGGGCCGTCTGCAGTCACTTCCAGGGCTCTGCAGAGGCCCGGCGGCTCCTCGTGCAGCTGCAGCAGCAGTGTGGCCTCCCAGCCCATCAGCCCTTCTGGGAGCTCTCAGACGACTGGATCTCTGCCTACCAGCTGATGGAGTGGCTGGTGGAGCAGCAGCAGGCGCTGCGGGAGTACGAGGAGAAGCACCAGTTGGGGAAGGCCGGGATGGCCCTGTCGGCCGTGTTTTGGAGCCTCGCAGACAGCCTGGTCATGCTCCTGCGGCCCTTCCGAATGGTGGTCCAGGAGGCAAGCACGCCGCAGGCTTCCTTAAGCCAGGTGCTGCCGCAGCTGCGCTACCTGCACATCTTTATGGAGCAAGTTCACGCGCGCTTTGAGGAGCAGAGTGGCGGGGAGGTGGGTGCGGCCGTCCGGCTGGCCAGCGGCCTAGCCCTGCAGCTCTCCACAGACTGCCAGCTCAACGAACTCTTCCACCGCGAGGAGTTCGTGCTGGCGACTCTGCTGGACCCCCGCTTCAAGGGCCAGCTCGAGGCCATCCTGCCTGTGGGCGCCGACATTGACCACTGGAAGCAAGTTCTTGTTTACAAGGTGAAGGAGATTATGGTGTCCGAATACTCCTTGCCTCCCGCACCCTTCCTGCAGAGCCCCAGGGCTCTGAGTGTGGATGCCACCTGTAGTGGCAGAATCGCCAAGGGCCCTGGGGCTGAGGGGCGGGGCCAGGAGGACCCTGTGCAGCGAAGCAGCAACACTGCGTGTTCGCTGCTAGGCCAGAGGGAGAAGAGCTTGGCGGAGCAGCTGGAGAGTGTAGGGCTGCTGGCGTCCCAGAGGAGCGGAGCCTCGCTCTCTACCGAGAACCACCTGGCCACAGTCATTGTCAAGAAGTACCTGCGTGAAAACAAGACAGTTGGCGCGCAGGAGGACCCCCTGGCTTACTGGGAGAAGAGGCGGGAAGTCTGGCCAGCCCTGGCACGACTGGCCACCATCTATCTATCCTGTCCTGCTACCAGTGCCTTCTCGGGGAGTGTCTTCGCTTCCTTGGATAGCCCCACCATCGTGGAGAACAGCTCCCCTCTCCCAGTGGAAACAGTTGAGCATCTCCTCTTCCTGAAGACCAACCTGGAGAATTTCCCCAACTATACCCCCTCTCCTCTCCTCCTCCCCAGTGGAGACGTGGTCAAGGAGGAGCAGGCCAGGGAGTCTGGCCCCACAGGCTGATGCCCTCACTGGCTGCCTGGGGGAGCTCTGCACAGGTGGAAGGAGAGAGCACAGTGCGGCCCATAGAGGGGCAGATGGGGCGGCCAGAATCTTACCCCTTTTGGGGAAGAATGGGGACAGTTTCTCAGCTCTTACAGACTGCCTGTTTGTTTTCAGGGAGGTGGCATTTTCCATCTACCCATTGCTTAATTTATTTTTTAAAATATTTTTTAAGTTTATTTTTAATTGATTTTAGAGAGAGAGAGAAACATTGATTTGTTGTTCTACTTATTCATGCATCCATTGGTTGATTCTTGCGTGTGTCCTAACTGGGCATCAGACTTATAACTTTGGTATAATGGGACAATGCTCTTAAAAACTGAGGTGCCCAGCCAGGGCTGTTTACTTTATCTCTAGCACTATGTGCATAGATAAGGTTTAGTTTGCTCATAGGAGACTGTGAGTTGTACTATACAATTTTATAAGCGATAGTGTTTTTGAAATGGTGGGTAATAAGGGTCCTACATGCAGCTTGTCCCTGTGTGTCAAGGCATTCATGCCCTTAAAGGCCTGCTTTCTCCTGGGACAAGGACAAGGGGATACGTTGGTGCCGGCATATGTACTTAGTAAGAGGTGTGTGTCTAGGTCTAGGTCTCAGCCACCTAGAACCTGGGTGAGCTATGAAAGCTCTTTCTGAAATTGCTTTCACTGTAGAAAGAAACTAAGGTCGAGGAGCCATTTGAAGAGGGAGGCATATGCACATGCGCACAGGTACACGGTCTTAGGGTCTGTAGTTCCCTGGGGATCCCTGGGACCCTAGTGGCTGGAGAATTCTTGTTTGATAGGATTGCCCAGCTAGCGAGGGAGAGTGATGCTGAGATACTCAGTCTCCACACTGTTCTTCAACTTCGTTCCCGGACTGCTGGAAACCTGGGGTTCCTTCCTTTCCATGGTGGCAGCAGTCTCAGAAAGCTCCCACGCTCACCCAGGCTCCCGCTGGCCGAGCAGGTGTTCCACCTTAAGCGCCCACACCTCCCCTTCCCCTGGCCGCTTTTAAAGGACGGACCTCCGCCTGCAAGTGAGAGGGGCTGTGTATCGGACTGACTAGTAACTGATGGCCAGAGTTCCCGGGGCCCAGGGACTGGCGGCTTCAGGTGGGAGAAGGCGTGTCACACCCCGCAGGACCTGGGTCTGGCCTCCTGAGGTGCTGGGGCCCCGGGGCACGTGGCTCTGAGAGGGACGGTAGGTGGAGGCGGGTGAGGCACTCAAGGCCTGACTTGCACTTTGGCCGTTGGGGTGAACCTGGAGGCCGGCCCACCTCCCCTGGACGGTTGTCAGTCATGTGTCACTGAGACTGATTCACTACAGGACGTTCGGAAGTTAATGAGAATGAGAGGAAGCAGGAAAAATCATAATCCTTTCACTCAGCCTCTGTTAACACATTGACATACCTTCTTTATCTTGAGATTATACCTGCTGGACTAGTGTGCTGTATTTTTTTTTTTTTTTTAATTCTCACCTGAGAATGTTTTTGCTGCCCCCCCCCTTTTTTTTAAGAGGAAGGGAAAAGGGGAGAGAGAGAAACATTGATGAGAGAGAGATCTTGATCAGTGGTGTCCTGTACACGCCCCACCTGGGGCTAGAACCCACAGCCTAGGTATTTGCTCTGACTGGGAAATGAACTTAAAACCTGGTGTACGGGACAATGCTCCAGGCAACTGAGCCACCCGACCAGGGCTGTATTTTAATTTTCATAGTATAATAACTGCATCATCTTTAAAAAAGCTTTGTAAAGATCCTAGTTAATGGCTGGAGTAACATGACTTGAATTAGAGTCTGGCTTCCAAGCTGCTTGGGCCCCGCCTCCTCCCCCTGAGCTGTCGGGGGGAGCGTGGGAGGCAAGGTTCCTCGGGGCAGGCGGCTGGGACTGTGGCGGTTGTGCTCACCGTCCTGCCTAAATCAAGTGCATTTGGGTGGTAAGGTCAGGGCATGGCCCTGGACCCAGCCCTCGACCCCTGCCTCCCTCCCTCCCTTCCCTGAGTGGACGTGCGGCTCGGCCTTTAATGAGACCCACCTGAGAGTGTCTTAAGCCCCTGGGTGCTGCTGCTCCTCCGAGACCGGGATTCAGCGGGTCGGGTGGCGGGGCAGGAATGTGATGTGCCTTAAAGTCGCCTAGGCTGTTCCGAGAGAGGTGCCATCCTGCGCGGGTTGGCACGAGTCGACCGGCTGGGGTACTCTCGCCGAGGGCGAGGCCGGGATGGAGGGGCAGCGGGGCAGGGGGGGGGGGGGGGGCCCAGGGAGTGAAAGGAAGAACCTGAGACAGCACGGCAGCCCAGGGTTTGGGGGCGGCAGTGCTTCTCAATGGGGGACGTTGAGGGGCGCCTGGAGACCTTTCGGTTGTCACAGCTTGTGGGGAGAAATCGATGCGGCTGGACCCCCTGCCACCCACAAGACGACCCCCCAAACAAAGGCTTGTCCAGCCCTGAGTGTGAGCAGCGCCAGGACTGAAGAGCCCTGCTCTGCGTCGCGCTCTGTCCTGGCTGCCTCCTGGGCCTCGTTTTCCGGCCCGTTTCCTACGCAGGTGAACGGGCACAGCGGAGGCTGACCGCACAGGGCGGGTGGGCCTCCCCCGGCCCGGGCTGCGAACTGTGACTTAGCCGCTGTGTCATCTCTGTGACCCAGTCCTTGGTGCAGACTTACACATGGGCCCGAGAGCCTCTTGGCTCATTTGCATAACAGAACTGGGAGATTCCTGTTATTCAGAGGAATGTTGACCTGGGGGTGAGGAGGAGCTGCCCTCCCCCCTCTCCCTGGCAGAGCCTGCTGCCAGCCTGTGCCTTGCGGCAGGCGGGCTTACACGGGGCCGGCCTGGGCAAGGCGCGCAGGTATGTGTAAGATGGGACCGGGGAACAGCAGGTGTCGTCGTCCATGGGACGGCAGCTGGAGGGCGCCGGACCTGGGAGCTCGGGAAGCCCGATGTTGGCCTCAGCGTGATCTTTCGGCTCCACTGTTCCCTCTTCCGCAAAAAGCGTTCCTCCAGCTTTAAGGCCAGCAGCGCATAGTTCTCTCCATCTCTGCCTGGCTCTGCCCGCTCCCCTTGATCTGTCCTCCCCTTTGCAGCCACCGTGTCCGTCTAAGCAGTCACCCAGCGTCTCGGGGCACCATGCCCTAACCCTCGTGGGCTGCTGTGGCCTTACCTCCACCCAAGAGCACCCCGGAGCCCAGCGGGGCATTGGAACACAGTCTTGGTGGTTCTCTCCTCGAGAGTCATGATTTCTCCCCTTGGCTGCTCGGCCGTGTCCTGGTTCAGCCTCATGAAGGCTGCTCCCAACGTCCACCCTTGGCCTCTCCGCTGTGTGCCACTTGAACAGTGACCACTTTCACCCTCAAATAGTGCGTGTCTGGGAGGATATGCATTTTCTTGCAGAGAGACCTACCAATAACGAAAGAGGTCTTTGTCCCCAAAATGGCTGGCCCGCTGTGCCACACACTCGCACCAGGCACCTCTGCAGGTCATGTCTAGATCCCTTCAGCCAAGAATGTCAGCTGTCTCCCAGGCCCGGTGCCCCGTGGTCACCTCAGACGGGAGGCCGCCCGGCCGCCCAGGCTGTCGCACCTGTGTCCTGAGTGTTTGCGACGGGAGCCCCAGCGTCCAGTCTCAGGGCCAGATCCCTGCACGTTGTGCTGGGCCCTGCCTCCTCGGCATTGCTCCACGCCTGCAGTGGGGTCCGTGTCTCGCTGGTGCCTATGTGGCAGGTGTCTAGTGTCCCTCAAGTGCCCACTTTCTGGGCCAGGTAGTTTTCACCAGATGCACGGGGGGTGGCCTTACACCCTACTGACCAAGCCCAGCAGATGCCATTTGCAGTGAGTGAAACAGACTGCTTAGTAGATACCTCCAGTCCCTTTTGGGAAGAAATGAGGTCAAAATGAGAACTTGCTGGAGTGTTGCGGACCAGAGGGGAGCTAGATAGAAGCAAAGGGACCCCCTTCCCAGAGACGGGGGTCGGGGGTGGTGGTCAGCTCTGTGAGCAGCCTCCGCAGGCTCCTGGCGAGGGGTGGGGGAGGAGCTTTGGGCCTGGTTTCCTGGGAGTGGGGGAAATACAAAGTGGTCTTGATCATGGGAATGTGGGCTTGGGAACGCGGACACTCTAGGGTCCCAGGCTGTGTCCACAGGAGTGAATGGTCCCATAGTCTTCGCAGGCGTCACCCTGCCCGGCCTGGGTCTGACCAGAGTCTGCGGAGTTGGGAAGCTGCCACTTGGAGCAGAGATCCCTTCTTGTTTTCCTCTCTGCTGAGAACCTTGACCCCTCTGTGGGCGGCAGCGTCCTTCCCCCGGGCTGCCCGCCTCATGCTTGTCCTGCCCTGGCACCTGGGCTCCTGCCGCCCCGCAGTCACTGGTGACTAGAAAGGCCCTCCCCTGTCTTTCTGGCGCCCCTCCCTGGGGGACGGCCCCCACCTCTCCAGCCCCCTTGCTTTGGGCGTGATGTCACGTTTGCGGCTGGAACAGCGGCTGGTGCTGTTCTGTTGGCAGCAGAGGAAGAGCTCATTTGGACTGGTGCGGTGGGGTGATGGGGCGCAGCGGCCTGGGAAGCGGGGGCCGGCAGTGCTGCCTCTCAGCCCCAGGCGTCCCTGTCCCTGCCTGCCTCCCATCTGTTTCCTCGTCTGGGACTGGAGGCTGGTCCTCCAGAGGACCAGAGGCTACACATTGGCCCACGTGATCTAGAAACTATTTTGAATTTACTGTAACATTTTTAAGAATTGCGTCAAGAACATTTTCAGGAGGATGAAGCCAGGCTCAGGTGCTCCCGTTTGTGGCTGTGTATGCAAGGCTCTCCCAGGGAGGGGACAAAGGGGACTGGGGTGAGGCTGGTGACCTGTTACCTACTCAGAAATTGGAAAACAAACAAACAAACAAAAAAACCAAACCCTCAAAATGATATAAGGAGAGATCCTGAGAGGTTACGGGAAAAGGAAAGTTATGGGGTTTTTCCCCGGGCAGATCTGGAAAACAGGAGGCGCTGGAAATACCAGCCGGAGGCGTGCAAGCCGGGGCTAGTCCTCCCAGCGGGGGCTGGGCCGCCCGCCTGCCTGGGGTGGGGGGGGGGCTTTTGTTCCCCAGCCTCTTGACCTGGGGTTCCCAGGTCTTGCCGGGCCACCTGGGTTTCTGGCCCTGGTGGTGGGTAGAGGCTGGGTAGCGCCTGCTGCTGTCACCTGCTTCGGGGTCACAGAGGAGTTCAGGAGAGGTCTGCTTACTGTTTAATTGTCTCTCCTTAGGGACCTGCTGGCCTCTGAGCGGGGGTGTTGGAAACAGGCGTCTGGCACTGGCGCAGTCAGGGTTGATAGCGCCTTTTTTGGGTTGAACAGCCGGCTGACCCCAGTGGTGCCTGTGTCCCTGTGACAGACTGTCGAGGCCCAGGCCACCTGCTCTGTCTGCGTCTCATGGAGCCTCAGGGTGAGAAGCCAGGAGAGGCCGAGGGGGTGCGCATCACGCCCCAGCTGCTCAAGTCGCGCTCGGGGGAGTTCGCCTTGGAGTCCATCCTGCTGCTGAGGCTGCGGGGCTCGGGGCTGGCGGACCTGGGCTGCCTGGGCGAGTGCCTGGGCCTCGAGTGGCTGGACCTGTCGGGCAACGCGCTCACCCAGCTGGGCCCCCTGGCCTCCCTGCGCCAGTTGGCCGTCCTCAATGTGGCCGACAATCGGCTGACGGGGCTGGAGCCGCTGGCCTCCTGCGAGAACCTGCAGAGTCTCAATGCCGCCGGCAACCTGCTGGCCACCCCAAGCCAGCTACAGTGTCTGAGCGGGCTGCGCGGCCTGGAGTACCTTCGGCTCCGGGACCCTTTGGCTCGGCTCAGCAACCCGCTCTGTGCCAGCCCGTCCTACCCGGCTGTGGCCCGAGAGCTGCTGCCGGGCCTGAAGGTCATCGACGGTGAGCGTGTGACTGGGCGCGGCAGCGAATTCTACCAGCTGTGCCGCGACCTGGACAGCTCCTTGCGGCCCAGCCCCAGCCCAGGCCCCAGCATCCCCGAGGCCCGGCCCTGGGTGGGCCCCGGGTACTGGGAGTCCCGGCCACCCCGGAGCAGCTCCATCCTGGAGGAGGCCTGCCGGCAGTTCCAGGACACCCTGCAGGAGTGCCGTGACCTGGACCGCCAGGCTGAGGACAGCCTGGCTCAGGCGGAGCAGGCTCTGCGCTCTGCGGGTACAGCCTCGTCCTTTGTCTTCTGAACGTGCCCCTGGCCCGGGACGACCTGGCACATGGCCGTGGGGCCGGCATAGTGGGGCCTGGGTGCCCACATCTCCGCTCCTGACTCTGCACTTGTCTTCATGGTTTCATCGTGCTGGTCGCTGTCCCTGCAAACTGGGCTACTTCTTTATCCCCTTTCCTGAGAGCAGACGCCCCCCTGCCCCACTCCTACCTCAAGACAATTCTACTGTATGTTCTTCAGGGACGTGCCGCCCCCGTGCCTGCCTCGGGCAGGCGTGAGGGCCCTCCACGAGCGGCTGGCACCGGGGGCCGGGGAGGAGGCCCCAGGCCTTCGCCGGCCACTCCTGGCTCCTGGGGCCTGAGACTTAGTGGAAGGAACCTTGCTACTCCCTCAGGTTAAAGGTGGCAAAAACAGGGACGGCCTGCCTCCCATCCCAGGGGCCACGGAAGAGGATGTAAACATCACATGGAGTGTGGAAGCCGGCATTCACCCCGCTTCCAGGCCCGCCTGTCCGGACGACCCCCTGCCCCGGCCCCCAGGCCCGTACCGCCCCGGAGCCCTCCCTGGCAGCCTTCACCCACGCTAATGCCTATTAAAGATTTCTGTCTTAGTTTGCATCATCGCCTGTCATTTCACGTGGGCGTGAGCTCCTGAAAGCAGGACGGGGTCCCCGCCACCTCTGGCCTGTCCTGGGTGTCCTGCTCCCCCTAGGGTGTTGCTTCCCCTGGCACACGTTCCCCAGCCTTTCCCCACTCGTGGCCCCTGCCCGTCAGCGGCGGGGGGCGCGCAAAGCCAGGGGCGAACACGGCTCCAAGAGCACTTTATTAGCTCGGGGATCGCAGGGCCATCCTCCAGGGCGCAGGGAGGGGAGGGCCGGCGCCCTCTGGTTACCTCCCGCAGCTGTCCAGAAAGCGGGATGGGGTTCTGGAAGAAAGGACAAAGACAAGGCCTGGGCGTGAGGGAGGCGGCTCTGGTCCTGGTCCCAGCTCTCCCAGGCTCCCGAGCCCCTGCCCTCCCTCTTCCTGCCGCCCGGCACCAGCCACGCCTCCCTCCCAAACCCCCCTCAGGGCTGTCCCAGTGCCACTGTCCTTCCGCCCTCCTGGCCACCTACCAGTCAGGGCCTCAGTTGGGGTGCGAGGACTTGAGGAAGGCAAACTGCCCTGGGAAGTAGTAGCTGTGGGGGTCCTCGCCAGCCCTCGCCACCCTGCTGCACTGCGCCTCCTGGTGCTCCTTGGACTCCTGCCGGCGCAGGCATGCTCAGCCGAGGGCGCCGGCCCAGCCCCGCTTCCCCACTTCCCCTCTCCTCGCGCCCCCCCACTTCCCCTCTCCTGGCCCCGCCCCATCTTTCTTGCCCCCTCCTCACCCTCACCCCTCCTCCTTAACTCCTCTTCACCCTCCACTCCTTGTCCCTCCTCCTCCTCCTCCATCCAGGCCTCTGCCTCTCAACCCCTCCATAGGCCCAGCCTGTCTTCATCCCACCAGCCTCTTCCCCAGCCTCCCTGCGTCCTCCTCTGCCCGCTCGTACCCGTTGAACCTGCATCTCCATGGGGCAGTGGACCATCCGGCCCAGGACTTTAGACTCCGAGTCCAGCTTGATGCAGGCCAGGCATGTCCGCTTCCTCTGGGGAGAGGGGCACGGGGCCAGGAGAGGAAAGGGGTGAGGGGGGCCTGGGAAAGGGGGGCTGCGGGCTGCGGGCTGCCTCCCAGGGGGCCTAGACCCTGCAGGCCCTTGAGCAAAGGGGCGAGGGTCGTGCTGGCCAGCTGGTTCCATGGGCGGCCCACCCCGGGCTGGGGAATTAATCAAACCATTGTGCAGTTTTCTAAACTCCAGTGAGCACGCGCATCTGTGTGAGCATGTAGGCCGGAAGCCTCCTCAGACGGGGTCCCCCACCCGACCGCCACCTGGCCCACCGTGCTGCCATTTAGCATATCTAGTTGCATTTTCTTCCAAGGCTGAACTTGGGCACAAGGATCTGGCACAGAAGTCTGGAAGGCCATGGGCGTCCCCTAGTCCCTCCCGTAACGGGGGCTGGGAACTCAGGCGTCGGAGAACCCGAAAAGCCACAGGGCGAGCGCGGGCAGAGCCGGGGCCAGAACCCCGAGCATGGTCCCCCCCAAGCCCAGGGATCTCCCCCGGGGCCGGCGTCGCCCCCACGGGGGTGGGATCACAGTCAAGGCCTGTTAGGGATCAGCCTAGGCTGGGCTGTCTCCACTCGAAGACTGGCTGAAGACAGACTTCACCAGGCTGGGGCCGGACCACCCCATGCCGCGCCTTCCACGGGGGCTTCCGCCCGTGACGCAAAGCCCGGGAGAGGAGCTGGGATGAAGGCGAACTCCGTCCCAGTAGTCCCCCTCTTCCTCCCGCCCGTCCAGGCTCCGGCGACCCACACTGTCACCACCGCGGGCTCCACAGGGAGGTCTCCAGCCTCAGGCCTTCTTGCTGCATCTCAAGCTAAACCCAGTGACGCACGCCTGCCCCCGAGCCAGCACACCCTCGCGCCTCCGCTCACCCCGGTGGGCTTGACCTTGCACTCAGCTTTCCTCCAGTCCTTCTTGGAGCAGTCGGTCTGCTGGAGCTTGAATTCCAGCCTCACGAAGGTCCCCGCCGGGAAGTGCTGCCGACAGACAGACAGAGGAAGGCCAGCAGCCAGCTGAGCAGGCAGAGCAATTCTGGATGTGACCTGTCCCTCCTCCCCACAGTGAAACAGCACATCCGAGTTGGTGGCCTGGATGGTGGCCTTTCTCCGGATTGCTGCACGCTTTCAGAGCCCAAGCACCGTTGCGCCTGCTTCCTGGGAACGTGCAGGTCTCTCAGGGTGCGGGCTGGACCCCTCCCTCCCGCGGGTCGCGCTGCTCACCGTGTCTGTGGCGCTGTCCACACTGGTCTTCTGGAAGGCCCACTGCACGCGCGGGTGCTTGTGGAACTCCTCCAGGGCCACCCGCAGGCCCTGCTGCTGGGCCTGCGAGAGCTCGGCCCTGCCCAAGCCCACGGCGCCCAGCCCCAGGGCTAGAAGGGTCAGCAGCCGCCACATGACTTCACCTCAGTCGCCCGCTCCTGCAAAGCACGCGTGTGATCCTCAACGCCTCGCCGCGGCCACCGACCCCCTGGCCCGGCACTCAGGGGCCATGCCTAGCAGGGCTCTGCGCAGAGGCGGAGGGACAGGATGCGGCCCTTCCCAGAAATCCCCCGGTATTCCCCTATCCCCCGTCCCTCACCCTCCCTGTCCTGCCTCCCACTGCGCGGGGCGCGGGGCGGGGGGGGGGGGGGGGCGGTGGCCCTGGCCCGGTCGATGCTGAGTCAGTCGGCTTCTGTCCCCGGCCTGCAGCCAGGGAGGCCCTCCTGTCGCCCCCTCTGTCCCTCCCCGCCTTCGCTGGCCCGCAGTCCTACCCCACTGCCCCATTGCCCCTCGAGCTCCTCTCTGCTTCCCCTCCCTCCCTGGGCTCTGCTGGCTCCCAGGCCCACTCCAGCCCTCATCCCCGCACCACCAGTCACTGCAGGGAAGACACTGGGGCATAGGAAGGAGGCTGAATGTTTCTGGAAGGATGTAAACACTTGGAGGTGCCAGAGCAGGGTGGGGACCGAGGAGGATGCTTAACCCTCCCTGCGCTGCAGCCGCCTGTTGCCAGGGGCCCTACTCCTGAACCAGAGAAAGGGGCTCTCACCTGGTCCCACCCTTGGCCAGCCTCCTCGGGCAGACCCTCCCTGCCTTGCCGCTGGTTCTGGGCCTCCCCCGCCACCCCTCCCCCGCCCCGGCGTGCTGCGTTGGAGCAAGGGCTCCTGGACAAGTGGGCCAGGTCGGCCCTTGGAGCGACCGTCTCTGCCCGCCCCCTCCTCTCCTCTCCATGCCGCCCCCCACCCCAAGCCCACCGACCCTCCTCACCTCTCCGGTGCCTTGGGGTCTCTCCTAACCTCCCCGCGGCAGTTTCGCCAGGCTGTCAGCCTCTTCCTGGTCCCGGCCCCCCCACCCCGCGCCGCCCTCCCTCCTTTGGTTGGCCCCATCTCCTCCCACCCCCACCTCCTGGGCTCCCTCCAGGGCCCAGCACCGCCCCAGGCTCCTCCCCACCCCGTTAGGACCGGCCTCCCCAGCCCCAGGCCCTCCCGAGGCTTTCCTTCCCGTCCCACCCTCCCGCCGCCCCTCCTCTTGCCGCCCGACCCTGACCCTGACCCTGACCCTGACCCTGGCCGCTCTTCCAGGCGGAGGCCGGAGAGCAGGGTGTCCGGGGGGCCTCGGAGCCCAAGCTCTGGGAGGTCTCAGCCAGGACTCCTCTCTCTTCTCCTCGGGCTATGGGACTGCCCTGCCCCCGACCCGGCCTCCAGGTAGGGCTGCCCCTTTCTTAGGCCCCTGGGATGACAAGTCCCTGAGACATTCATTTCCGGACCTTCTTCCCAGAAACACAGATGTCCTCGAACCAGATGAAACCCAGAGGAGGCGGTCCCTCGCTCTTCTGAGTGCGTCCTGAAGCCACACTCAGGCGGAAGGCATCTTCTTCTGAGCTGACTCTGGTGTCCACAACCTCTCCCACCAGCATACAAGTCCAATCTTGAGCCTATATGTCCCATTCTTAGTGGCAGGAGAGTCAAGGGTCTCTCATGGGGTGTTGGGAGCCCGGCAGGACGGCGTGGTGGAGCTCACAGGGCCCGTGGGGAGTCAGGGAAAGCGCCCCGATGTTTGTGCAGCTCCTGCGCATCTGAGCAAGTCTGTAGCAGCTCTGGGACTCTGTGTGCCAGTAACCAGGGTGACCATTTCACTGCGTCCTAATGACGAGAAATAGAGGATCTCCTTGAACTTCAACCCCTAAAACCCCTGCTTCCCTCTCTGCAGGGTGGGATCAGAAACCCGACCTAAGGGGTTGTTGTGAGGAGGAAGTGAGGAAATTATATGGAAAGTGGCCGCTGGGGTTCTGGGTGCCAAGTGGGGTCACAGGCTGTGAGCCGTATTAGCTCAGGGATGGTGACTGGACCCTCCTGCTTTCATTTGGGCTGTTGCCCTTCCACCAGCCTCCAGCATGGTGGAGGGCTGGGCGCTTCCTCACATGTCCCCCGCCCCATCCCTGGGTCCCCGGCACCGGTGCCTTCCCATCCAGGGCCTCCTCAGGGTTCAGATCAGCTGCGCCCCGGAGAGGAACCCTGTGCAGTCGGTTACCACGTGACTTTGACACCGTTTTGTAAAACATGTTATGTGTCTCATCCTCTGTTGTCTCCTCTGCCATCTTCTTTCTCCTTGTGAATCTGAAGCTTCTCCTTCTTTCCACTGTCCTTTTAACAGAGCTTTGGAAGGAAGTTGGGATAAACGCATTGTAACCAAACGCAGGTCTGGCTGCCTGCCACTTCCGAAAGCCAGTGCCCGAGAGGCAGGTGCTGATGTAAAGGAGAGTGATTTATTCAGGTGCCGGCCACCTGGAAGATGGGGGACCCTTGTCTCAAAGCCCATCCCCGCCTCTCAGGCGTCCTGGCTAGTTTATACAAGGGAAGCGCGGGAAGAGGGGATTTCTGGGGACAGGCAGTCTCTCGGCTCTGCTCCCGGGGGATTTTGGTATCGTCTCCTGCGTGTGTCATGATGCAGCCCCATCTGCGGTCCCACTCAGGCCTCGGGCCAGGACGTGCGGCAATGTCCCTGCTGTTCTCACACGAGTCGCCGATGCTCGTCCAGCTTCCTGTGGTCAGGGCCGTTCCTTGCTTAAGCAGGAACTGCAACTGCTGTTGCCTATAAAATACTTATAAGGAAACTTTTAATATGCGACTTTCTGATGAGTCTCTTCGTACAGCCTGTTCTATAACTACCACCTGATTAGTGCATTTACTTCAATCACTGTTCTGATATGATAAACACATATGTGTAATCACCTGTGTTTAGCCAGAATCTGTGAGTTACTTAGAAAGAAAACCTCATATGTTGAAACCTAACCCCCCAGAACCTCTGAACGTGACTATATTTGGAACTGGGACTTGAAAGAGGCAATTAAGGTAAAATGAGGTCCTCTGGATGGGTCCCAAACCAATGTGACTGGTATCCTTATAAGAAGAGATTTGGACACAGAGGGAAGACCATGAGTGGTCCCAGGGAGAGAACCCCACCCACTAGCAGCCAAGGAGAGCGGCCTCAGAAGAACCAGCCCTACTAACACCTCTATCTCAGACTTGTGGCCTCCAGAACCGTAAGAGAATAGATTCCTGTTGTTGAAGCCACCCAGTGTGTGCTCCTTTGTAATGGCCGCCCTGGCAAACTTACACACACACACACACACACACACACACACAAAATCTTTCCCCAAAACCCGGAGCTCTGCACTCAACCTGATTATTTGAAAAGCCAGGTTTTCATCCATGTGACACAATAATCAGGTGCCTTGTGAGCAGAAGAACAAGGTTAAATTGACTAACACTCAGCCCCAAAATGGTCTTATTGAGAATAAACATATAAATTTTATCCATTTATCTTCAAAAAAGCGAAGAAATCAAGATGCCATTTTTAATGTTTTAAGTGTGGCAGGAACTGGAACTTGGGTTTTAGTCAGTAGATGTGCCTTAACAATAACATACCATTAACGTTTTAAACCTTGTATTTACTCTTTCAAGGAAATTCAGCAAACCAATCAAAGCAACTTGCACATTTAGGGACTTCTGGCCAAGATGGAGGTGTAGGCAGATATGCTTTTCTTCCTCCCACTACCAAAACAAAGATAACCAATTTAAAAACAAAAAACAACCAGAACTGCCAGAAAATAGAACTGTAGGGAAGTCCAACAACCGAGGTGTTAAAGAAGAAACATGCACCCAGATCAGTAGGAGGGGTGGAGATGCAGCTGGGGCAGTGAGGATGCCGACAAGGCAGCGGCTGGTGGACCGGCGGTCCCACATTTACGTGCAGATAAACTGGGAGGAACAGCTGGGGAGCGACACAGACCACACAACCCAGGGTTCCAGCGCAGGAAACTAAAGCCTCAAAACCCCTGGATGTAAAAACCTGTAGGGGTTGCGGTGGCGGGAGTAATGCCCGGCCTCATAGGAGAGTCCTTTGCAGAGAACCAGGGGGCCCTAGAACATACACAAACCCACCCACCCAGGGATCAGCACCAGGGCAGCACCTGAAAGGGCAGAATCCGCTTGTGGGAAGCAGGGGAGGTAACTGAAAGCAGGGTGAGAGTTGAGCAGGCAGCATAGTTCCCTCTCCGAGCCCTCTGCCACACACCGCATCACAACGCAGCGACCTGGGTAGCCCCGCGCTAGAGAATACCTAAGGCTCCACCCCTCCCAACATAACAAGTGCGCCGAGACAAAGAAATATGGCCCAAATGAAAGAACAGATCAAAGCTTGAGAAAAAGAACTGAGCGACGAGGTGATAACTCACCAATCAGATGCAGAGTTCAAAACATCGGATGCTCACAGAAATGGTTGAGTATGGTCGCAAAATAAAGGAAGAAGTGAGGGCTACACAAAGTGAAATAAAGAAAAATAGACAGGGAAGTAACAATGAAGGGAAGGAAACTGGGAAATCGATGATTTGGAACAAAACAAGGAGACAAATATTCAACCAGAACAGAATGAAGAAACAAGAATTCAGAAAAATGAGGAGAGGCTTAGGAACCTCTAGAACAACTTTAAATTCCAACGTCCGCATGATAAGGGTGCCAGAAGAAGAATAGGAAGAGCAAGAAATTGAAAACTTACTTGAAAAATTAATGAAGGAAAACTTCCCCAGGCTGGTGAAGGAACTAGATATGCAAGTCCAGGAAGCTCAGAGAGTCCCAAAGAAGTTGGATCCAAGGAAGCACACACCAAGGCAGGTCATAATTACATTACCCAAGATTAAAGAAAAGGAGAAAATCTTCAAAGCAGCAAGAGAAAAGGAGACAGTTACCTACAAAGGAGTTCCCATAAGACTATCAGCTGATTTCTCAAAAGAAACCTTACAGGCAAGAAGGGGCTGGAAAGAAGTATTCAAAGTCATGAAAAGCAAGCACCTACATCCAAGATGACTCTATCCAGCAAAACTATCATTTAGAATGGAAGGGCAGGTAAAGTGCTTCCCAGATAAGGTCAAGTTAAAGGAGTTCATCATCACCAAGCCCTTATTATATGAAATGTTAAAGGGACTTATCTAAGAAAAAAAATCAACACTATGAACAGCAAAATGACAACAAACTCACAACTATCAACAACTGAACCTAAAAAAACAAAAACAAACTAAGCAAATAACTAGAACAGGAACAGAATCACAGAAATGGAGATCACAGGTAGGGTAATCAGCGGGGAGTGGGGAGGGGAAAATGAGGGAAAAGGTACAGGGAATAAGAAGAAGGGGAGGTTGAGAACAGTATAGGAAATGGAAGAGCCGAAGACCTTACATGTACAACCCATGGACATGAACTGGGCGGAGGGGTGCTGAAGAGGGGGTGCAGGGAGAAGCGGGATAAAGGGGAGAAAAATACGGGACAACTGTAATAACATAATCAATCAAATATATTTTAAAAAAGAATTAAGTACATTTAAAAACTTACTTTCAGGAGTGAAAAATATTTTCCCAAATCAAAGAGACCAGGAGGCAAACACCCAAGCTGAAAGTCTGCGGTGGACCTCATCAAACCTCCCTCAAGGACCTACCACTAGATGGAGGTGGTGAGCAGGAGAAAGGTCCTTGAAACTTAAGAGTTCCCCGCCTCCCCCTTTTTTTTTCAAATTACAATGCTGTGGAATTATTTTTCTTACATAGTTGTGGTCGCTTGTGATCGCTTTTTGATTCCTGGTTTAACCCCGAGAACTTCCCTTAACTCCATCTGACCCATGAATCATGCCAATATGTTGCAACGGTTTTATATCCTAGATGCATGTTTGTTAGGACTGAAAACCAGCACAGGCTCAGATAATGAGGACGTCTCAGCCAGCGGGGGGAGCCACTGAGGGCAGCTTATTTTTATTTTTTTAAATTCTCACTCGAGGACACACTGATTTTAGAGAGGGGTGAAGGGAGGGCGAGAAGGAGAGAATCGCTGATGTGGGAGAGACACATCAGTTGGTTGTCTCTTGCACACACCCCGACCAGGGATTGAACCCGCAGCCTAGGTGTGTGCTTTGACTGGGAACTGAACATGCAGCCTTTCAGTTTAAGGGATGACGCTCTAACCAGCTGAGCCACACTGGCCAGGGCAGCACTGAGGGCACTTTAGATGCTATGACATGAAATACTGTCCAAGTTTTTAAAAAACTTAATTTATTTAGTATTAATAATTTGTTGAATGTAGTAATTTAATAGACTGTTCCTATGTAGTCAACATGCTATCTTGTTGTAATTTCTGATACACAAAATGAATCTTAAATCCCAGGAAGAGGGAATTCCTGTTTTAAGACAGTGAAGGCAAACCAGCACTGAGAACACAGACTTTGCTGGCCAACTCTGAAGGTACCAAAATGATCTGTGGTCCAGGTTTGGTCTTAGAACCTGTTAAAAGGCACCGAGTGGAAGCCGGGTTGACATTCTGATTCCTCCAAGTCCCCGAGTGCTTTTACTGGAGAGGAGTCTGGGCAGGACTCAGCCCGGGGGAGAGGCAGCGTCTTTGTTGGTGGCGAACGTGCCCAGGTGGCTTTCGCAAACAGTAACACATGCCACTCACAGGAAACAAAACACTTGAAAATATACCTGCTCCTGTTAAACGGCAAAGACGTTGGGGATCCTGTTTAGAAGGTCCTTGTGTGTCCAAACTAAGCTTGGCTTTTCGTGGCTTTTTAACCAAGAGCGGACACACACTGGCCTCTAGGTTTGTCTTTTGAATTAAGCTGAAGGAGGTTCCATCTAATCCCAGTCTGGAGCAGAAAATGACAAAGCCTGGTAATGACAGATGGGATTTGATCCCGAAAGGGTAGCAATGCAGGTTTCTAGATGAAGTCAAGTACTTTCTCTCCTGGTTGAGACACCGAGATGATTATTCCAGTGTTTTCTGGCAACGTCTGGTCCTGAGATCAAATCACGCCGGGGCAGTACACGCGAGGGCCCGGGAGTAAGGTGCGCTCCGCCGCCCGAGGGGCCACGCGCTCCCTGAAGGGTCCTGCGTGCCAGCTGTTCGCAGGCCAGTTGTTCGGGAATCACGCTCCAGGGAAGGGAAGGCGCTTAAGGTGCCGCCTCCCACAAAGGTCCTTCCAGTGAGAGCATTATAAACGCAAGTTTTCCTTTGAGTTCCTTGTCCTGTACGTCACTCACAGACTGGTTTGCATTTTTCTATAAGAAAAAGTGGTATTTTCTTCTGCTAAAAGTTCTGCTGGGCTCCCAACACCTGCTCGGGAAGCAGCAGCCGAGGGAGAGAGTGTGGTTTTCCGGAAAACAGGCCGCTCAGGCTGCTGCTTAGGCAGCTCGCGGTGATCTAACCGGATTCGCTCAACCAAGGGTTGAGCTCTTACATTTCCTCATTCATTTGGCCCACAAACACTTGCCGAGGACCTGCGGCGGGCCCGACACCATTCGAGGGGCTGGCTATGGGGTGATTCAAGAGACAGGACAAGTCCCCACCTTCGTGTGACATGTCGTGGTAGGTAACTAGACAAAAACCATCTAAGTGAGTAAGTACCTAAATGATGTGAAGTAGGCGGTAAGCACTATGAAGAACCTGCGACTGTCACCTGATACGGCAACGGGGACTGCAGATGTGATTAAGCTAAGAATTTCGGAGTGCAGGGATTCCTCTGGGGAAATAGAATGAAAAAACAGAACCTCCTGCCAACGCAGGAAGGCTCCCCGCAAAGGCGGCGGCGAAGAGGCCCGCGTCCTTACTGAGTGAGCCCCGCACCAGAAAGACACGCACACGACAGGCAGTCCACCGAGAGGTCGCAAAGGCAGAAGGAGGTCGCCCCGGTTACGCAGCCCTGCGGGCGCGGCCCATTCCACACACAGGCTCGAGATAAGCCGTCACTAGTGCTCGGGCCAGAGGACTTGACCATGTTGCACACAGAGTGTGTCCTAAATTCACCTGGCAGCCGGGGTGGCCACCTGTGTTTGTTAACTGCCTTTATCCAGAGGAAAACACACCTCTCATATCTTTATGGCAGGAGGTGGTTTTGCAGCTTGGAGCCAGGTGTCCCCGGGGGTGAGGCTCCGCCCTCCCACGGGGCCTGGGAGCCAGGGCCCTGCCTCCCTTGATGATTCCCTTCAAAGGGATGGCTCCCAGGCCCTCGAGAGACAGTCCTGGGTTGTAAAGCTGGCAAGGGGCTTCTTTATACACACATCTCAAAGAGATGGAGGAAAATTCACAGCGACAGGTTTTCCAAGCACAGGGTAGAGGTTGTGGGGAAGGTATCTCCCCTTTGGCACCAGGGAGAATGAAAACCTGTCTCTCCCTTTTACTTTGTATTTGCCCTTGTAACTGTCCCGGATTCCCCAGGTGGCCCCTGGATGTAATCACACGCGTCCTGATAAGAGGGAGGCAGCAGGAGATTGGACCACAGCAGAGACAGAAGGCAGCGTGACCACGGGCGCGAGCATGCTGCGCGGCTGGCTTTGAAGGGGGAGGAAGGGCGCCACGGCACCCATGAATGCAGCTCTCGGGGCTGGAAAAGGCGGGCAAACGGTCTCCGTTAGAGCCTCTGGAGCGAACAGGGCCTGCCAGCACCTTGATTTCGGCCCAGGGACACTGATTCTGGACACCTGGCCTCCGAACTGCAAAGGAACATGTGTGTGTTGTCGGAAGGGACCACGTTTGTGGACATTTGTCACAGCAGCCACGGGAATGAGTAGATGCACATACAGCTGGAAAGTGCCGAGGCCCCTCGGGAAACGGGCTCTGAGGAGAGGACACTTGGGCTCCAACTTGAGCGAAGGGGAAGATCGCCCCTATAAAGCTCCGGAGGAAGAGCACCCTAGGCAGACAGAGCAGCAGGGGCTGCTGTGGCTGGGGCGGAGCGTCCAGCAGGTTCCCGGGTGGCCCGGAGCTGGAGAGGCAGGCGCGGTCAGTCCAGAGCCTAAGAGGCTGTGGCAGTGGTTTGCGATGGCTTCGGAATGTGCCGTAAGCCACCTGATCTATGTTTAAACGGTCAGTCTGGTTCCGGAGACCGGGCTCCCCGGCGGCTGCGTGGGGGCCAGGGAGCGGTGGCTGCTGGGAGAGGCGAGCGGTGCTGAGCAGGGCCTCGCAGCCCTGGTGCGCCCAAGCCCTGATGCCCGCACGGGAAATCTGAGATCTCTCCCTGGTTTCCTTCTCACCAACTCCGTTCTTTTTCTTTTAGAAAAACGAACTCCCCGAAACAGATATGCAGCAGCCAAGTGTCCGGGGACTGCAGAGTTAGAGGTGACATTGGATCCCAGTCTCGGGCTGCTGTTACAGCCTCTGTCCTTGCCAGGCACCATGCGTGTGTTGTGCCTTTAAGGATATTTTTAGAACTGCAGCAGGAGGAGCGACTGATTTTTTCCTGAAGAGTTTCCACATGACCTAGCAAGGGTGCTCTCACCTGAGATGCTAGCCGTGGGCCGTGGGGGCCTTGCTCAGGGTCGGCCTTGGCCGCTGTCTCTCCAGGCCCCGGTGCCAAGAGGGCTCATGGGATAGAAGTAACTGTGCCAGTGTGAGTCCCTTCCGGCAGATGTGGCCTCCATCACGGTGAGTGTGGTGCGTGCTTCCTGCCTCCTTGTGGCACAGCCCAGGCCCACACGGAAGGAGCTCGGTGAGTCCCCAGCCCTACCTTCAGGATGCTGTCTGCCACAGGAGTTCCCAGTCAAGTAAGTTCTGTGACGGCCAAGTTGTCCTCCCTTCCCTCTGCTCCCTAGTCTCCTCCGGCTTTTCAACAGCCATCCACTCAGAAATTGTCAACAAGCATTTGGTTTTATTTCACACTAAGGACTAGGCGAAGGGGTATTATTGCCATTGCTAAGCCGGGGTCTTAAGGCATCGTGGAAAAACAGCGCGGGCCACTTCTGCCTGGCTCGGCCTCAAGCCAGCACCTGGAGCGGCCACAGAGGGCGGACGCCGATGAAACATTTGCTGGATGTATGAGGGGGGTCTGGGGCAGTCTATCTGCCAGAGCTGGATGAAATTTTCCCTCTTGCAGATAAAGGGCTGCCTCTGAACAATACTCGGGCATCTTCATAGAGGGTTTCTGGAGACATGAAAGATGACGCTATAATGATGTAGAAAAAGAGAAAAATTTGAGTAACTTACTAGTGCATTTATGCTGCTGTTACGAATCATGTTATGATATCTAAGCAATGGGGGAAAGTTCACAGTAGTGTTAAGTGAAAAGGGCAGAATACATCTTTGCAAGGTATTATCCCAATTATGTCCACTATGCATAGATGAGCATAGAAACGACATCGGAGAACACATAGCAAAATGTTAAATGCAATTCACTCTAGGAGGTAAAAGTATGAAAGATTTTTATATTTTATTTCCTATTTATGGAACAGATTTAAAAAGTTTCTACAATATTTGTACAATTAAAAAAAAAAGTGGCCTTTGTTGGAAAGCAGAAAAGTACATGAAACTGTACTCGCCTGGAAAACCCAGGAAATGTTTCGTTTGGAAAGCCAAGGCCACCTGCTAATGGGTGAGTCACCGGCGCAGGCTCGCACCTGCCTCCGCACTGGCCAACGGGCTGCTGCGCGTTTTCAACCGAAATGCCCCCGAGCAAGAACAGCCCCACGCCCGGCGGCCACGGACGCTGGAACTCCACTTTTGGATAATTTCTGGAATAGAGGGTATTCCCTTTTCAAAGTTCACGCGATGGGGTGGGTCTTTTCTGTCTCCACTTCTGAACAAACCAGAAGCCAGACTCTCGGGCCGACGCGCCGCCCCCGGCCGATGGATGTCAGCGCGGCTTAGATCCCGCACGCGGCACCTAGATTCCGCGGCGCGGCCAAGGTCAAGGTGGCCGAAGAGTGGAGGGCGCGGCCCTGGGCGGCCCGAGAGCGGGAGCGCCCTCTCAGAAGGCTCAGGCGGGCTTGCAGTCTTGAGGGAGCCGACGAGGCCGGGTCTGGCGGAGTGACAAGTCTGGCCACGCGGTCGCCCAGGGACGCGCGTCCTCCGTCCTCCGTAGGGACAAAGGGTCGGGAAACTTGAGCCGGGCCTGTCCCGGAAGAGCCGGGCTGCGGTCGCCATGGCAACGGAGTCGGGCTCCGGCGGTTTCCCCCAGCCCGGCCCGCGAGGGGGCTCTGGGGATGGCTAGGCACCCCGCTCCGCCGTCTCCGCTGCCCGCCCCGCCCCGCCCTCCGGCCGCGACTGCGGCCGGAGCCCGCGACTGACCCTCGGCAGCTCCTGTAGTCACGTGGCGCTGGGAACCGGCGGGGGGGCTGGGCACGGGCCTGGCAGTGGTGAACTCGAACCTGCTGCTGTCGCTGCGGCGGGGTGGGGAGCGCGGCTGCCGGCACCGGCTTTGCGGCCTCATGGACGCGCCACGCGCCTCCGCGACCCCCGCCGGAGAGGTTCGTCCCGGGCAGGGCGCGGGGTTCCACGCGGGCCCGTGGCAGGGGCGGCCCTACCTGCCGGGCGCGTGACCGTGCGCTCCCTGTGTGGGGGGCACATGCCGACCGGAGTGGGGGGCGAGCCCGCGCACCCGCGCACCTGCGCACAGGCTCCGCGAGGTGCGCTCCGCGGGGACCTGAAAGGGCCCACTCCCGGAGCGCGGAGCAGTGCCTCCACGAACGTGGACGAGGGACAGGCGCGAATACAAAAGGGGGGTGTGGGGGTCTCCACGGCCCTTCACCCTCCAGGACGCGCAAGGGGTTTCGGACCCAGTCCTGGTCACATTAGCTCGCCTGCGCAGCCCCCTGGGAAACGGGCCTGGAATTCCTGTTGGGAGGAGGGTGGGGGGAGGGGAGCCAGCAGGGATTCCAGAGTTGCTGCCACAGTCCGGCCTTTGGCCATCAGCGTGAAGAATTTGTGCTGTGACCTTACCAGTGGAGGGAGTGACCCCTAAACGCAGATGTGTGCTTTCTTGGTGCAGGGGGCGCATTTATTTATTAATGTACTGTCCATTAAGGTCACTCTGCCGGTCGGGTGTGGGGCTCGGATGGGGGAGGGGGTTGTGGCTGGCCAGGACACAAAGATGACTGCCCTGGAGGAGCACGGAGCCTCACGCTTGTTTTCTCTCCCCTCCCCGCAGGTAAGGCTGGCCTCCCCGCAGCCGGAGGCCTGAGCTCTGCCATGGGGGTAGGGGTGTCTTTACTCCTGCAGTTTTCTCTGACATCTGGGGGCCACCAGAGTTTGGGCCGGAGCAGGCGCTACAGCCGCAGAAGTCTCCCCAGGAGCTTCCCCAGCAGGAGCTGGAAAAAACCTCGTCTCCAGCTCCACAGTCTCCAGGGTAGAGTCTGGCCTTCTTTGTCGGGTTCCCACAGCCTCAGTGCTCGGGCCTCCCGTCCTGGGGAAGGAAGGCGGGCGCCTGTGGGGGAAGGATCCGGTTCTCAAGGCCCGGAGCCTTCCCTGCGCTCAGCCTGGCTGTTGGGCATGAGTCATGGCTCTGCTCCTCAGGGGAGCGCAGACTCTGGGGAACTTAGGAGGCTGCGCCTGGAGCTTTTGAGAAGGGAGTGTGAGTCCCTTAGGAGTCTAACCGCCCCTCTCCCACACACTTTAAGGGGTACAGGAGGCCCTCCTGCAGGAATCGGGGCTCCCTGGTGCTTGGGAGTTGCAGAATGTGGGGCAGCCGCCGGCGGGGTCGGGGCAGGGCGAGGCAGGGGACGGAGACCTAATCTCTTCCTCCCGCCCCTACTCCTGCCCCAGTAATCCCTTTCACCCCCAGGGAGGCAGCAGCACCAGGGCCCTGGGCCCCCAAGCATAGCAGGCTGTGAGTGTTCCTGGGTCTGGGAGAGCTTTCCTTCCTGCGATGTCCTAATCGTGTGTGGGTGGAGAGGGGCAGGCAGGCAGAACGTGGGCACAGTCTGGACAGGCAGTGGCCTGGCCTCGTGCTGGGAGTAGCAGCCAGCTCCCCGCCTGTTCCCCGCGGGGCTGGTCTCACTGGCTCTCCCGGCTTCTACCCTGAGAGGGGGAAAGAGATGGCAGGGCACAAGAGCCCCCCGTGCTGCAGGCTGTGCCAGAGAGAAGAGAACAGGGACAAAGGGCTGTAGAAGTTCCTGCGGGAGCTTCGCACACCCAGGCGTTTCAGGGAAGGAACACTGGCCTGGGAGTTTAGAAGACCTGTCCCCTAGTCCTGGTCCTGCTGCTGGTTTACTCTGTCCCCTCGAGCGAGGCCTGCCACCTTTTATGCCTCACGGTGGCTTCATCTGTCACACAGGGAGCTTAGTGTTTGCGCCCCCAGCCTCCCAGAGTTGCCGTGAAACCCAGGCGTGGCGACAGGCAACTGCAGGGGCGGGGAGGGCAGCAGGGCCGCGCTTGGAGACGGCCTGCAGCCCCGCGGGGAGAGGGGGTGTGATTCCTGGGGAGGCAGGGACGCTTGTGCGGCCAGTGCTGGAGCGTTCGCCGTGCCAGGCACGTGGCCGCCGGGGCGGGGCGGGGGGGGGCGGGCATTCCAAGAAGTGTCAGGGTCCGCAAGGACTCACGGCAAATGCACTTGAAATGTGTGTCTAGAAGCCCAAGGTTGAACCAACAGAGAAGAGTAGCCTAGATTTGAGGGCTCTAGCAGTCCAGAGGGGCGAGCTCCCTCGGGCTGGGGGTGGCGGGAGGACCGGGGGCAGGGCGAGTGGACCTCTAGCGTGACTGTGCTTTTCCACCCGCAGCAGAGGAAGGACCGATGCTGGAACGTCGCTGCCGGGGCCCCCTGGCCGTGGGCCCGGCCCAGCCCCAGCTCCTTTCTGGGCCCTCCCAGGAGTCGCCCCAGACCCTGGAGAAGGAGCCCCGCGGGCTGAGGTTACAAGGCACCTCGGTGGCCCAGCCAGGCAGCCAAGCTCCAGGTCGGGTCCGTCGCTGTGCCCACTGTCAAAGGCACTTCCCGGGATGGGTGGCCCTGTGGCTTCACGCCCGGCACTGCCAGGCCCGGCTGCCCCTGGCTTGCCCAGAATGCAGCCGTCGCTTCCGGCACGCCCCCTTCTTGGCACTGCACTGCCAGGTGCACGCCGCCGCCACCCCAGACCTGGGCTTCGCCTGCCACCTCTGTGGGCAGGGCTTCCGAGGCTGGGTGGCCCTGGTTCTGCATCTGCGGGCCCACTCGGCTGCCAGGCGGCCCATCGCTTGCCCGGAGTGTGAGAGACGCTTCTGGCGACAAAAGCAGCTTCGAGCGCACGTGCGGAGGTGCCACCCCCCGGCTCCTGAGGCCCGGCCCTTCATATGTGGCAACTGCGGCAGGAGCTTTGCCCAGTGGGACCAGCTGGTTGCTCACAAGCGGGTTCACGTAGCCGAGGCCCTGGAGGAGGCGGCAGCCAAGGCGCTTGGGCCTCGGCCCAGGGGCCGCCCCGCCGTGACCGCCCCCCGGCCCGGCGGAGATGCCGTTGACCGGCCCTTCCAGTGTGCCTGCTGTGGCAAGCGCTTCCGGCACAAACCCAACCTGATCGCCCACCGCCGCGTGCACACGGGCGAGCGGCCCCACCAGTGCCCCGAGTGTGGGAAGCGCTTCACCAATAAGCCCTACTTGACCTCGCACCGGCGCATCCACACTGGCGAGAAGCCCTACCCCTGCACCGAGTGCGGGCGGCGCTTCCGCCACAAACCCAACCTTCTGTCGCACAGCAAGATCCACAAGCGATCCGAAGGGTCTGCCCAGGGTGCCCCTGGCTCAGGGAGCCCCCAGCTTCCAGCCGGCCCCCTGGAGCCCTTGGCAGAGCCCACCCCAGAGGCCCCACTGAGACCTGCCCAGGAGCCTCCCTCTGAGCCTCTGCTGGAGGCCCCCCGGGACCAGGCGGAAGCACCCCCTTCTCTCTACAGCTGTGATGACTGTGGCAGGAGCTTCCGGCTGGAGCGCTTCCTGCGGGCCCACCAGCGGCAGCACACGGGGGAGCGGCCCTTCGCCTGCCCTGAGTGTGGGAAGAACTTCGCCAAGAAGACCCACCTGGTGGCCCACTCGCGGGTCCACTCGGGGGAGCGGCCCTTCGCCTGCGAGGAGTGCGGGCGCCGCTTCTCCCAGGGCAGCCACCTGGCAGCCCACCGGCGTGACCACGCGCCCGAGCGGCCCTTCGTCTGCCCGGACTGTGGCAAGGCTTTCCGCCACAAGCCGTACCTGGCCGCCCACCGGCGCATCCACACCGGCGAGAAGCCCTACGTCTGCCCCGACTGCGGCAAAGCCTTCAGCCAGAAGTCCAACCTGGTGTCTCACCGGCGCATCCACACCGGCGAGCGCCCCTACGCCTGCCCCGACTGTGACAGGAGCTTCAGCCAGAAGTCCAACCTCATCACCCACCGCAAGAGCCACATCCGGGACGGCGCCTTCTGCTGTGCCATCTGCGGCCAGACCTTTGACGACGAGGAGAAGCTCCTGGCCCATCAGAAGAAGCATGATGTCTGAGGGCAGGGGTGTTGTTCAGTGGGAGTGGGGTGGCGGGGCCCCGGGGGCCTGCACTGCTGCCGGCAAAGCTGGGGCTGTAGAGGCGGGGAGCGAGCGGTCCTGCCAGAAAGGGAGGTCGGCCTCCCCGCCAGGCCAGGGAACCACTGCGCGTGCGGGACCCAGCCTCCAGCGGGTGGTTGCTAAGGCTCTGTCCTCACTGTCCTATGCCCTGGAAAAGTAGCAATAGCACCTGCACCCACCCCTTAGTGTCTGTCCTCTGCTGGAGGAGCCACCAGTGGGCAGGATGACCCTTCTCTGGTGTTAACGCCTTAATGTCGCTGTCTGTGTTGAGCCAGCCCCTTCAGCTCGGTTTTGGAAGTAGGCGTGGCACAGTCTTTAGTGAAGAGCGCTCAGGAGGTAAAGTGGACCAGTGGGGACACCCGGGAGAACCTGCTGGCCTTGTTCGGCAGCCCTGGGGAGGTGACGCCGAGCTGCCCTGAGCTGTCCCAGCCCGTCCCTCCTGCCTGCCCCTGCACTGGCACCCAGACTCAGAGAGACCCGTCTACTTTGTGGCTTCCCCTTCCTCTCTGAAGATCAGCCCCAGGGGGGTCCCCGCCTGTCAGACTTGCTTTATCCACCCCCCTCCCTGTGCTTAGAGCATCACCTGGCTGGCAGACCGTGTCTAGGCTTTGTCTGAACAGCCCAGCCCTCCTCGCGCCTCCCAGAGCACCCCCAACCCCGTGCTGGCAGGGACGGCCCCACTGATGATGGGTCAGCTGGTGGGGGGATGGGGTGAGTTTCCTCTTCAACATTTCTAGTGTCTGGATGCCCAGCCTTGCCTGAACACGTAGGTGACAGGGAGTCCCCACCGCCTGACGCCCTTGTTCTATTGTAGGACAATTCTAATTGTTAGAGGTTCTTCCTTATAATGAATGAAATCTGCTTTCCTATAATTTCTACCTATTGGGCCTTGTTCTGTTTTCTGGAACTAAACAGAACCGCCACTTACCCTTCTTTTCAAACTAGAGAATAAAGATTTGGTTTTAGAACTGGCGGCTGAGACGTGGTCCTTCCCCTGCCCCCGCCGGGTTGCTGCAGCGTAGGAGGGAGGAGAAGCACCTTCCGCTCCAAGGGAGGAAGGTGCTGTGTGGCAAGGGGGACCTGGTGACAGGCCAGGTCCCCCGACTTGAGCCCCTCTGTCCCTGCCTCCAGTTCTTCCCCAGGGCAGGCCAGGCAGCCAGGCATGACCAGCGAGTGGGGCAAGTTTTCTAGGGGGTTCAGCCTTCTGTGCGGTCAAGTCAGACTCGCTGGGCGCCGGTTATCGGGGGAAGTTCCGATTTGGCTCTGCCTTGTAGTGCCCACCTGGCTGGTCTGCTACAGTCCCCACACCGATTACTACGGATGCTTCCAGCACTGTTGACTTGTAGAAATAGGAGGGCCTATTTCTGACAGGAATCAATAGGCCCTTTTCCTGCCAGTCTGAGTGATTTCCCAAGAGGTCACTGACACTTGGCATGGTGTGCACAATGGTTATAGTCACAAACTGTGAGTGGCGCCTTGCACAGACATTTTCCTAAATTATCTCACGTAATCCTTGTGAGGTAGGCACTCTTCTTTGACAGAGGAACGCGTGTGCTCAGGGTCACGTCACCAGTACTTGCCAGAGGTCTGGCTGGCTCCTGGAACCTGCGCTTTTGACCTCCGCCGTGGAAGGCCCTGCTGCTTTTGGTGAAGATGGGTGTTCAGTGCCCACTGGCTTTTATGCTGGGATGGAAATGGGGACGTTACAAAGATAAGCCCCCATCCTTCCGCTTAGGGGGCCTACCTCTGGGGTGGACATACATAACTACAAAAATAATGAAAGATGGGAGGGGGTGCCTGGGGGTCCACGTGTGTAGGAAGGGAGCAGGTAGCTTCAAGCTTCATTTTGGCTTCTGGGGTTATGGGCCGTTTAAAAGCCCGTGTAGTTGATGGCACATGAGCTTTCAGAGTCTGGGGACATTGTGTGAAGAAAGCCTCGCTTAAACAGTCTAAGGGAGCCCCGGGCTTCCAGGGAAGGGGGCAGTGCTTTATGGGGGCGGGGGGATCAGGAAAGTAAGTAGATGTTGGGGTGATGGTCAGGGAGCAGGAGACAGGTCCTCAGGCATCTGGGGTTACTCTCGGGGGTCGGCATTGGAGAAAAGGAGGAGGGAGAGGGAACCCGACCAGGGGTCCTGACTGAAAACCACCTTTGGTGGACATGCCTTGTGTGTGAGGAAGGCGGGTGTGGAGCATCCTCTAGTGCCGTGCTGCCGGCTGCTTTTGGGTCGAGGCGGTGAGGAGAGGGCCGAGGGGCTGAGAGCCGCAGGAGAGTGAAATTGCTCATGTTTCTGAGTCCCGCAGGGGACCCAGTGGGTCCCAAGCCCTCGTCCAGCAGGGCTCATGCCACCCGCGGCCTTGAAGGAGGAACTGCCCGGGTCGGACGGGTCAGCGCCCTGCTCACAGGAGCTGCCCTTCGGGCTTTGTTTTCTTTTTCCTTCTACAATTACAGAAGTAGGAAATAACCGTGTCAAAATTAAACGATGCAGGCTGCCCTGGCCCAGTGGTTCAGTGGGTGGGAGTGTCCTGTACACCAACAGGTTGTAGGTTCTACTCCTGGTCAGGGCATGTACCAAAGTTAGAGGTTTGATACCCAGTCGGAGTGTGTGTAGGAAGCAACAGATCAATGTTTCTCACGTTGATGTTTTCCTCTCTCTCTGAAAATCAATAAAAAACATATCCTTGGGTGAAGATAAAAGAAAAAGCATATATATTTATATTGTTTTTTGAGAGGGAGGAAGGGAGGGCGAAAGAGGGAGGAACCTCGATGAGAGAGAAAAACATTAATCAGTTGCCTCTCATATACTTCCTGACTGGGGACCGAACCCACACTCCAGGCATGTGCCCCAACCAGCGACCCTTCGCCTTTGTTGAGTGATGTCCTGCAGATCCACACCGGTCAGGGCTTAGATGTATTTTTAAATCTGAAAGTCCTTCCTTTCTCCCCCTCCACCCTGCATATGTTTCTCTTTACTCCATGCAGGGTATTGGAGGGTGGTGTTGTTCCAGAAGTTTTTTTCTGTGCATTTGCAGATATGCATCTATAGCCTCCCCCTTTTTTACTTTATGGAAATAGGATCCCAGCTATGCTTCGTCCTTTCTACCCTTGAGATAAACTTGGTCATGAAATGTCAACCTGGAGGAAGCCTTTCATTCTGTAGAGGAAGAAACAGGTCGAGAGAGTGACAGTGACTTTCCTACTTGAAGCCAGTGGCACATCTGGGACTAGAACACGAATCCACCAGCTTTTGCTAGGGGCTCTAGAAAATAAAGAGATGAGTGAGACTTCAGAGTTGATGGCTTTAGGATGCATGGCTTCTGTGTAGGGTGCCTTTACAAATGCTTCTATAGACGAGAGAATCAATTAGGATCCTGCTAAAATCCAGTAAGTTATGTATGCAACTCTTTTGCAGATGAACAAGTCAAAGTCTAGAGACAGCAAGTATCCTTTGTAAAAAGTGCACACAAAGGGTGTGGTTAAACTGCTAGAATCTCGGTCACCAGTTTCTATTGTGTGGAGAGCTAAACAGCAGCTGGGCCCGTGGCAAATGCTTCCTAGGCAGCTGCGGACATTAATTAGGACTGGGTCCACCGGCTGAACAGTAAGGTTTGTACGCAGTCTCTCAGAGAGCTCAGCTTCTGTTTGTATCAACCGCCTGTCCCGGAGGCGGTTTCTAAGCAGCTGCAGAGAGCATCCTGCCAGTGGGAGCTGACATCGCCGGCTCCCTTTGAGGTGGCAGTGCGAGGAGTTTTATTGACACAAAGGAGCACTTCCCTCCAATCAGGGTCGGTTAGAAGAGAAAATTCTTCCTGAAGGTTTCTGGGAAGAGAAGACACTCCTTGGCCATCAGGACCGTGCCTCCAACTGAGCAGTGACACTCGATTTAGAAACGTAACATCAAAGTGTCTGTTTCCCCCCATGACAAGGCAAGGGTTGGGTTGAATGATGTCTCATAGAGACCCCGGGGTTACTTGTCACGCGCCCACGACGTGCAGGGCCGCGTGGTTGCGTGCGCTGGGCGATTTCTCTCCTGTTACACGAGACAAGCACATATCACTCTAAGCCTCGTGTGCCCTACTGCCGAATATCACCATCAAGTCACATGCACACTGAACTGAGCGTCGGAGCGGGGCTCCTGCTTCTTTCCCCGGATCCTGACACCAAGAGCGGCGCGGGCGTGTCGCAAACAAGGGACGGACTCGATTGCAGAGCGCGGGTCTGCGGGGCCGGGGCAGAGAGGGAGAGCCCGGTGGAGGCACGCAGCGGGTGAAAGCGCTCGACCCCGCCCCTCCTACCAG